CAATCAACACTCCATGGGACTGCCATATATGCCCACATTGACCCCCCCTGGCACCACCCCAATACGTAGGCATATAGCATACATGGAGTGTCTGGGACATACCTAGATCCTCCAACTGTGCCAAATTTCTGTTTCTTGGCTGGTGTTATAGATGGAAAGACATCAATTTGACACCGTTGGAAGATGCAGGTATACGAGCTAAGTGGGTGAAAAAGCATCGCCCAGCTAACTCTAACGACCCCTGGCCGATGGTCCCCAAAGACCACCCAGCAGAAGGGAAATGAGGATTAAAGAGAAACACTCACTGTGGAGAAGCGACTTGATGTCGTCCCCGACTTTCAAGTTATATAGAAAATGGCACGTCTGACCCCATCAAACCCCATCAAACCAAAAACTTTAATTCTTCAGCACCATCTTTATTGGCCTCGCTACTTGGCAGCGATGCCCTGTAGTGTTCAGTGTCGGTATTTCTCTCACAGGCCGACTCATGTTCCACTCCAGTCCACTCCAAAGTCGACATCAGCGACTCCCTGTCCAGAGCTGACAAGCTATGACGGAGGCCGGGCATGTCTACGGTATAGGACCTGTAGACGGTATAGAGTCCAAATCATCAAAATCATTCAACATCTTCCAACGATGCAACACATGTCCGTCTTTCTGAATGGCTATAGTTGGATAGTCGACGAATTTCGGCAAACATTTTGCGTTGGAAGATCCAGGTATGGATCCAAATTGAAAGGCCAGTGGCGCGCTGCAAGTGGCGCTGGCCCGAATGTACAATTTTCATGACTCCATGACTCAACTAAGTTAAGAATATTTTAGATTGCCATGGCTACAAATAGAACTGGGTTACAATGCAAATATCTTCCCTTAAAACCACCGCCTGGATCCGGAAGTCTGATTCGCTGGCAGTGCCCAAGCAGGACGGGACAAGAGCGCAGTCGCAGTGCCCCTGCAAATAGCATATACCAGGCCCTGAACAGGGATCTATCCTCCTTGGATTTGCTGTCCAGGAACCTTGAACCTTAAGCAACACCAGGCCTGCATTACCCAACAAAACACCCCACGTCACGGTCGCAAGACGCTCACGGCCTTCAGATCCTCATCATTTCGTATACCCATACACTCTATATGCCTACATTGACCCCCCTGGCACCACCCCTGGCCCTGGCCTGATCGACATATATATTATATTCTAGTCCCATGGGTCGTGTCTAGGCTATAGAGTCCAACTTATTTGAGACATGATCAATTTTTCCTGGACCGGGGTGTCCAATAGACTACCCCGCGCTACTTCCAGGTCTCCTCCAGCGCACCCGGACAGGGAGTGCTAGTCTTGGTGGTGAAATCGTTGAGCTCAACTTCGGCGCGGTGTGCTGCGCTCGCCGAGCTCGCGCCCTTCTTTTTGCCGAAGGCACCACGGCGGATGATCCGGAGGTCTCCATTTGGAGGGTCCCGGTGAGGAATTAACTGAATCTGCTCATGGGGCATGATGTGTTGACTATGCACCTGCAGGCCTTTTTCTTTCAGACCATGGATGTGGTGTTGAACAAGCTTCCAGGACTGCACAACAAGCAGAAACGCAGTCACCTTCACTTGTTTTGACTGAATTCAGTTGTTAATTGGAGACTCATTTGGCCATGCAGTGCAAACACCAGGGTCGTTCACCCCTGTCGTTCTCGCTCGTGGCGCGGTGCGTGTTGTTCACTGCCCCAAAGAAGCAAACAAAGTTTGAAACATGCAACATGACATGCAATCAGATTCATCCACAAAAATAAAACAATGAACATGACTTTCTGGCAAACCTCTTAAGGAAAGCAAAAAACTGTTGCCCCCCCTTTGGTTTCCCTTATAAAGCGCCGGCAGGCAGCGGTTTTCGGCCGCCACCCCGCCACCCCGCTCGACATTCTCGCTGCAGGGGTGGCTTCTTCGGCTCGCTCTGATCCGCTCAGCTTCTTCGGCCTTCAGGTTTCAAGACCAATCGCGGCCAAGTCCACCGTGTCTTGCTGCACGGTGCGCCTCGCATCTCCGGCATCCGCGGTCGACGCCGGGACCCCACCGGTGAAAGCTCCGAGTCAACGGGCGAGTTGACGCTTTCAGATCGTCATGTTCTGGGTAAATCAACAGGTGTTGCGAAGAAAGCGGAAAGTGGTCCGGATCCGATGTTGAGCCAGCAACATGGGCCAGACTCTTGAGGGGCCAGCTGCAGCTGCTGAAAAATCGAACCAACAACTTTGGCAGTAAGACCTAAAGTACTACATAGATTGATCTTCATTGGCAAATGATTCCAGGAGTCAGCCAATGTCGGGCACACAGGCGGATGATGGCGGATGCCATTCTACAATGATTTCCAGGTGCCAGACCCATACCTGGATACCAGGACCCTCCGTTTTCGGGGTCTAGCTGTCTGGAAGCCCTGTCTGTGTGGGGTAGTCCAGCCAGGACACCTGCATCTCCCAGCTGCTTCAACACCCTACACCGCCGGGACTCCGTAGGGTCCTGGACCCGACGGAACATGCCACCCGAGCCGTCGTCCGAACCGACCCGGTTCGGTACGACTGGAGGCCTAAGGGACATTCTAACTACCCTCAAACCCCTAGGGTTTTGAGGGACCAAGAGCTGTGAACGGAGCATCTGGGCAACGAATTTCGGCTGTTCTTCTTCCGCCAGATTCCACCCAATCCGCCGGGTCCACACCACTTTCCTCCCGCCCGCGACGAGCCGTCGCCGCTCCCGCCCGCCACCACGCCGGCTACCTCGCCTGCTGCGCACGGTGACGCTGTCCATGTGCCCAAACTTCCCGAAGACCAGTCCGGCTTGGAGACCTCGGCGGGTGCTCCGCTCGGAGCGCGGGTTCGACGGCGCGGTTTCGCCGCAACGACGGTTTCGGTGCGTGAATGGTAGCGCCGCCTGTGTTGGGGTTCAAGAAGAGAAGCGATCATGGAAGTGTTCAGGTGTTTCTTCTTGTCTTGTTTAAGGTGGAAAGCATATTATAAGTTAAAATGAATTCAATGACGGGTGAGTCGACTATAGCGGAGAACATGTCACTTCAAGGCCGGTGAACTCAACGTTTGTGAGATTGAGATTGAGAGTGTGAGAAAACCAGCAAACCAGCCTGACCACGCGCTCTGTGGAGGGAAGAAGGGAACAACATGGGCAAGGACGTTTATGGGCGATGGTCAAAATGAGGGAAGTGGAAGGATCTACCTGGAGTCTGACCTGTTTGTACCTCGGAAAATGAGTACACTAATTGTACCTGTCATGTCCCATTTTCTAGAGGTACTTCGTCGTCAGTGGGGTCCAGGTATACCCAGACCATCCATGAACCTGGAAGAGTTGCCTACATTGGGGGCCATAAGTGGGGTGAAGGAATGTCATCTACACTCCCGAGTCAACTCACATAGACCCTGACAATCAATGGCCCCCCTGGGTCCGAGTGTTTTCACCAACCAGTGGTGTACTCAGGGTCCATTTTAGTCTCGTCTTCCAGGGTGTATTCCTTAATGCAAGTCCCACCAGGATGGTCCGGGATGGCGGCCATGCCGTGGCTGCAAGCCATCCACGCTCTGCCCAGGTGCCCCCCTAACACATCCGACGAACACGGACGCCATCCTTACACGAGGAGTCATGCAGTCCGGATCCAGTCGTACCGAACCTGAGGTTCGGTACGACTGGACCCTCCAAACCTATAACAGTGTCGAACACATCACGGCACTTGGATCCCTATAGGGAGTGAGGGCCCTTCTTTGGGACGCATGCAACAGAACAACATGGGACGCATGTCATGTCCCAAAAGCAGGTCATGTTGCTCGGTCCTGCTGGGTCTACTGAGTCTCCTTCGACTTTTCAACTCGAGTCATCCAGCCATGTAGAAAAAAACATCCTGGACCCTCCAACAGGTGCTTCCTGGTGATAACAGGTGCCCAGAAACCACCTGAGCCAAACCAATCGGATGAAAAAAAAAGCGCCCATCTTGGAGCATGTGCTGCGCATGAAATCCCTTGGCACGTGTTCTTTCAAGACATCGGATGAAACACTACCCACACCAGCGTTGCTGGTGATCATCTACCATGAAGAAGAATGGTGAAGAAAAGAATCTGCAGTACATGTACATGTTGATCTACACCAATCCACATTTACTCTTATCTATACCCACCTCGTGTGCATGCCTTATATAGTAGGAGAATGTGATACAATCATTGTATAGATCATCATGCATCCATCTATACCCTACAAGTCCAGTTTGACCCAGTAAAACCTTCTCTGTTACCTCCTTAAGTAATCTTAAGTATAGTTTTTGTTGTATGACCACGTCCAGTACACTGAGGTCTAATTGACCTCTTAGGGATACAATCATCTCATCTATCCATTCCAGCACCGCGGATTTCGGGTGTCGGTGTTCATGAACCACCCCGACTGAAGGGCCACTCTATATATGTGTTCTATACCAGCACCCTCCAACAGTTCTCCTCTGGTGGCTTTTGGAGACTTAAAAGTCGCAGGTGGTGACCTGTTAAGTCGGGTGCCGGTATGTGTCTATCTCCACCCGTGCACGCTCCGTGGTCTATTCGATATATGGGTCTCCCAACACTCCTCCGCCTTCCTCCCCTCTCCCCGTCTGGACCCGTTGCGACCGTCCGTCCGCCCCCGAAGAGCTGGGCGCGTCGTCGCCTCCGAGGCTCCGCACGACCGTTCTTGTCCATGAGCCCCTGGGACCTGGGGAACCCCAACGGGTGCGACCGGTGCGGTGCGCGTTCGGTGGAACACGGAAGTGAGTGAGGATACAAACAGGAACGACTTATAAGTAGAAGATGCTGGATCATGGACATGTGGAAGTGTGCACTTGGATGTGGGGGGGTGGAAAAAGGATTTAGTCACATTCTCGTTAGTAGCTTCAAAGACATACTTAAAGCTTCTTGTTACTAGTAGCTTCTCCCTGGTTTCGTCCAGTCGACTATAAAAAGAATGGTCTGGTCAGACTCTGACGAACGGGGACTCGGTCGTCCAGGAACTTCCTGAAACCTTCAGCCGGTCAAAAAATACCAGGACCGAAACCAAGTCCGGTGGTTTTTGGGCACCCCGAATCACCTCTAAGGGCTATCAATGTCGGTCCTGGTTGTCTTTGGACTTCTGGACCTCCCATGGCGCGACACGACACGGGATCCCATGGCGGCTTCAGCCGCCGCCGCTCGGCACCAGCGGTCCGGTGACCCAAATGGGGGGGGCACCGGGCACCGGGCACCGTCCACAGTTGCGGTTCAACACCGATGCATGTGAAGGAAGGGTTTAGGGTGGATTTGGTCTGTGATCTTAAGCTCTGAAAGGCCACGATCTTGGCTCCATGTTCAAGCGCCTCACCCAAACACGAACCTGTCTGGGACTGCCAGTCCGGACTGCCTTCAAAACTCACGGGTCTTTCTGGGTGGTGCGTGCCCGTCTGGGGTCAGACTCTGGGGCGGCAGAACGGACTGGCAGTCCCGTCAGACTTGGGTCGTGTCGTCGGGTGATGCGCTCGACACGTCGGGTGGTCTCGTTCGGTCTCATTCGGTCCGGCCGGTGAGTCCATCGGCTGAGCGGGCGGGTCTCGGGGTCTGGTTTGGATGGAATTTTCCCGGATGCCAATAAATACCCTTTGAGAAGGTGATTGGAGAAACTTGGGTGATGTTTGATGGCTTCGAGGGTTCCTAACATGTTCAAACACCTTTAATATGGAGCTCTACAATTGATACATTTAGGTGTTCTTTGCGGGTGGCTCTAAGAACCTGAGCTGGGTTCTACGTGGTTCTTATAGGGACCCTGGTTCCGCCCAGCCTTGCCATCACCCACGAGCGGACCCATGTGGCTCCCTTGGCCCCTCCCCGCCTGGCGTGCGGCGGCTCCCCCCTTTTGCCGCGTCAGACCAGTGCACCTGACTACGCAGTGGGTGGCTTCCTCGGTGACATAGTTGTGTCCCACTGCTCAGCGTGCAAGCGACCTCGACCTCGACCTCGACCTGGAATCCGCCATAGACTTGAAAGAACTGCAATTTGCAAATGCATCACGTCCAATCTCGGTCACTGAGTCTGGGATGGTCAAGTTCACTAAAGAGCCTAAAGAGCTGCAACCTTCAAAGGCACCATCCTCAATGTGGGTCACTGAGTGCGGGATGGTCAAGTTCGCCAAAGATCTGCAATTCTCAAAGGCACCTTTCCCAATGTGGGTCACAGAGTCTGGGATGGTCAAGTTCACTAAAGAGCTGCAACCACGAAAGGAAAAAACGGCCAATGTGGGTCACAGAGTTTGGGATGGTCAAGTTCAGCAAAGAGCTGCATTTCCGAAACGCGTCATTTTCAATGTGGGTCACTGAGTTTGGGATGCTCAAATTTGCCAAAGAATTGCAATTACGAAAGGCCGCAATCCCAATGTGGGTCACTGAGTTTGGGATGGTCAAGTTCACTAAAGAGCTGCAATCTTGAAAGGCATAGTACCCAATGTAGGTCACAGAGTTTGGGATGGTCAACTCAACCAAAGAGCCACACCCCGAAAAGGCAGCGTGCCAAATGTGGGTCACAGAGTCTGAGATGGTCAACTCAACCAAAGAGCCACACCGCGCAAAGGCATCGTCCCCAATTTGGGTCACTGAGTTCGGGATGGACAATGTTACCAAAGACTTGCAGCCCCGAAAGGCACTAATGCCAATGTAGGTCACTGAGTTTGGAATCGTCAAGTTTGCCAAAGACTTGCAGCCCTGAAAGGCACCATTCCCAATGTGGATCACCGAGTCCGGGATGGTCAAGCTCACCAAAGAGCTGCAATCTTGAAAGGCATAGTACCCAATGTAGGTCACAGAGTTTGGGATGGTCAACTCAACCAAAGAGCCACACCCCGAAAAGGCAGTGTGCCCAATGTGGGTCACAGAGTCTGGGATGGTCACTTTTGCCAACGTCTGGCAATCTTCAAAAGCATTTTCACAAATCTGGGATTCATCATGCGGAATCTCGACCACAAGCAGCAGTTCGGAGTCAACGATGCCGCCAAGAGTGGCGATCGCATCTTTGTCGGAGCATATCACTTTGTTTGTTTTGAACACCACACTCACAACAGTATCTTCAGCAATTCCAGCGTCCAGTATCTTTGCATCATTGCCAAGCAATTGGTTGTCTCCGACAATGAGCTCGACACCTGTCGTGCTGCGAGTGAGCTCGTCCCACGGCTTTCTCTCCTTGATCTGCTGCGTGAGCTCCTTGCCTGTTGTCTCAGACGTGACTTCAAGAACCAGGATTTCACCACTCGGCTGCAGCACTGAAACTTCCGCTGCCATGGCTCCAAAAATATATGCGATTATATGCGGCTGATTGCGGATGTGGTTTTTGAGCTGATTGCTTGTTAGCTAGCGGCTTGAACATATGATGGTGGACACATGGACATGGCTTGTATACGGTGATGGCAACACCGAAGAAACCCTTAGAACAAACGTCGTCGACACCAGTCACTGATCGAGCATGTCGAGCTCACACTGGGAATCGTCCCAAACGCTCCATGGGACTGCCAGTCCCTTCTGCCCATTGACCCCCCCTGGCACCACCCCTGGCCGTTTTGAAGGCATATACCAGCACCCAAGACCCTGCCAGGTCTCCGAGTGTTGGCAGCTGAAATGGATACTTAAAAGTGGACCTGGTGGTGACCTGGCAGGTCTCGGGTGCTGGTCTATGACAGTCCCATGGATCGACTGGGCATGTGAGAAACATCCACACCGTCGGACGTCTCACAGCGTCGGACACCTGTGCGTCGGACGGCCACTCGTGGGTGGTCCGTGACACCGGTTCCTTGCGGTTTCTCCCTTGAAACGCACACCTGGTCGCCTGGTCACGGCATCTGGCGGTCCGGTTGTCCCAGGTTTGAGGCGATTGTACGTATACTCACACCATGTCCCGGGATCCAGTCGTACCGAACCTCAGGTACGGTGAGGACGGAGACACGGTGTGAGGTATAGGTGCCAAAACGTCGGGACGGGTCCGGTCGTTCCAAACCTGAGATTCGGTACGACTGGATCCGGTATGAAAACCAGCTATAGCTACACCTCCAGGAAAGTACCTCCTCCGGTTCGGTATGACTGGACATGGCTGGACCCTGGCACCCACCCCCAGTTCCACCGTACCGACCCGGTTTGGAACGACTGGAGGCCAAACGGGATAGTCTTACTAGAACAGGGGGCAAACTGCATCCAAGTGGACTTGATCTACACAGAAAATGATATAAACATAACCCTAGGCTTCCACCCACCATTAATTTAATAGGCTTTGCTGAATCAACTAAGGGTTTTACACTACAAAAACCAGGTGAACCATTGTTTTAATGGTCTTGGAAGTCTAGGGATAAAGAACATGGTGGTGAATCAGCAAGAAATTCTCCGCACTGACCAAGAACGAGGATGGTATGGGGTGAGTTTCTCATTTTTGCGGGAGTGCCGTGCTCCTGAACCTCAGGCACCACACACGCAGGAAAAAAAGGGCCGCCCGCTCCCTCCGTGCGGCGTTCGCTGGGTGCTCCGTGCTTCACGGTGCGCTCCGCTGCTCCGTTGATGTTCCCGAAGTTGCTGCCGACCATCCTGGGCCCACGCGGGCGGCGTGGTCGGTCCGTCCACGGTGGACCTCGCCTTTGCCCGGAGCCGAGTGTGGCGTCCGGCGCCGGAGGGCGTGCGAAGTCGGCCGGCCGGGCGGTCGGACGTCGTTTCGGAAACACATCGTGCCGGTTCCACCTAATTAGGATGGATTGAGGTTCTTGAAACATGAGACGTTGATCTCCAAGAAAACCTTCGACAACAGTCCCCCAACTTGCCAATGATGTAGCTGCGTAGCTTCTGACCCGGTGCAAAGCAACATCACCTGGATGTGGCCGGAATGTGTGATCAATCCTTTCAACACAGTGACGCAGTGTTGAAGACGCTGCGTTCTTGCAAGTCCAAGACGCTCTGCTTGAAGAATTGCTCGTCTTGGGCGACCCGGAACACTTCCTCTGTGGTGTTTACATATACCAGCACCTTCAAAGGGGTCTTCAATAGAGTCAATACATTGAGCACCCCTTTGAAGGTCCAGGTACAATCTAAAAACTTCTAGAGCTTTACTGCGCACCTATAGACCCTTCCCCTAGGGCTCAAAGTACCTCCTTAGAAGGTATATTTGGACCCTCTAAACCCACCCCAAACACCTTCTAAGGTCCTTGGAGCCCTAGGGTTCAGGTTCCTTGTCGCCACCGCTGCCAGGTTCCCAAAAGGCGGACGTGTCCCCACTCGGAAGCCGACCGCACAGCTCCGCTCCAACGGGTTCCAAGGCCAGCGTTCAAAAACGTCGACAAGACCATTCAAAAAGAACCGCGCCATGAAGGTCCGATTCTTATAGTGCTGCCCTAACAACGTATACCGAAGTCAAGTCGACCATCTTGAAAATGGTGGATTCTGGTTTTGTAGTGTAAAACCCTTAATGGTTGTTCGGTAAGGCTATTAAAACAATGGTGGTTCGACTTCTAGGGTATACATCAACTTGGTTCCCACTGCTTGCCGTATGATTCAAAAAGAACCGCCGCCATCTGCCCAAACACTACCCCAAAAATGCTCCAAAAGCGGTGCCAATGCCACCGCCGCTGTCGGTCGAATCGCGGTGGCCGAAAAACACCGGCGCGCGGCGGTTTCGCCGGGCGTTCGCTCGAAACCTCGCGGCCGCTGCGTGGGCATTCGAAAGCGGTGTTCAAGTTGTGTCCAAGGCGCCACTGCATGAGTTGCAGAAAGCCCGGGAAGTCCAAGCCTTCCTCCGGGCAGTCGGAGAACTCCGCCGTCCTGGCGAGGTGTCGCGGTGAGTCGGCGAGTTCGGGAACCGGTGAAGCAGGTGGAGTTCGGGGGGTGGATTGGATTCACCCTGCTGGTGCAACAACATCCAACAACCGGTTTGCTTCGGGTCTAGCACTCCGGATCGAAGCAGTTTTTGTGAATGGATTTTAGAGAGCAAAACCAGGTCAACCACTATATATATATAGTTATGGTCTTTGAAGCTATAGGGTTCAGCCAAAACTGAGGTGCAGCGACATAGATTTAGATGTGAGGAGACCTGTTGGAGGTGCGTTGGTCTGTGATTTCCAGGACATATATCGTGTTGTTTGATGATGTAGAAAGGTTCGTGAATCCCCGACACTCCATGGGACATTTACCCCATGAACATGACCCATCCACGGAAGTCAGCAACTCTTGTGATGGATGCCCAGAGTGATTTCTCATCGGCAAGGGAGACACGCTCGGCTCGGAGGGTACATCCAACAACATCAGGATCTGTCCACGATCCTGAGAAAGGCTTACAGCAAAGATTGCTCAGAGAGAGGAAAAGTTCAAAGAATACTACCAGGACCCTCTAAGGGGTGTCCTGGCTGGACTACCCCACACTACCTATAGGCTTCCATTGGGCACCCCTTAGAGGGTCCTGGTATATCGAAATGTAATGTTCTCCTAAGAGGTGCATCAGCAATGAAAGGATTGAATGAGAAGAACAAGAGTTTACCACTAGTCAACAAACAAGGCAAGTGAAGCAATCGGAGACCGCCGAGGCTATGAGCTTCCAACCTCTGAACGCGGACACCTCTTGTCCAAAGCACGGTGGCTCCATGGCACGGTGGTGCCAAAACAGACGTAATTGGACCCTTCAAACGAGGCCGGCAGTGTCTGTAGCACCACTCATCTCAGACGCCTGTGGTTGTGCACTTGGAGGTGCTCACGTTGAGAGTGGTCAACGTTGAGCTTGGCGCCACCTCCACGATCTGCACACTTGGCTCATTCCCAGTCGCCGCTCTGCCGGGGACCCACTTCACATAGGACACCATGCCCATCCCGGATCCACATACCGAACCTGAGGTACGGTGAGGAAGGAGACTATTTGATGTAGGCGCCAGGAGGGTCCAAGCCTAACCTTCTGAGGTTCGGTATGTGGATCCGGCATGAGGTTCTCGGGAATGGCACCTGGTCTCCATGGTCTCCAATGGTCACCAGGGGTTCCGTACGAGCCCAATATACGAACTCCTCAGGCCTTCTTCAGCCCTCCGCACCCCGAAGCGGACGCGACCAGGTCCGTTTTTTCACCACTCGTCCAGCTCCAGGAGCGCCGGTCGTTAGTCGTCCGGGTGCCTTTGTTTCACCCGAGAACGGCTTTGTTTCACCCGGTCGGCACCAGGTCGGAACCAGGTTGGTTGAATGAGACCCCCCTTCCGAACTCGAGGCGTCGACATGCCCAGTTCGTCTTGTGTTCTTCGAGGTGATGACAGGGGTGTCCAACAACCGAACTTGGTTTCGGTCCTGGGTGTAAATTCAGCAAAACAAAGGGCTGTTCGGTAGAAACCAAGTAATCAATGAGCTGTTGGAAGCCTACAGGGTTATTGAGTGTTCATCGATCCAGGCACCACAAAGGCCATTTAAAAAAACCTAGTTGTTCATTTGAAAATAACACGGTTTTTGGATGGTTTTTTGCATGTTTTTGATGGTTTTGGTATCTGAAAAAAACATTGAACACCTTAAGTTGTTCATGGGAAACCGGCCGTGCTGCTGGTTTTCAGCCTGGATCCCTTGAGACGGTCGATCCGAGTGGCCGCCAGGCCTGTCCATGAGCTCTTGCCGCAGCGTGGCAGACATCTGCGGCGAACAAAAGGACGGAACAGGACCCTCCTGTCGGGGTGCCCTGTCTGGAAGCCTAGGCCGGTAGTGTGGGGTAGTCCAGCCAGGACACCCCGACAGGAGGGTCCAGGCATGGACTTCCATGGTCTTTTTTGGGCGGCCAAAGTTGGAGGGTATAGGCTTAGGTGCTCCATTCATCTCACCTTAGTAACATATGAACAACGTTCTCACCATATTTATTGCAATATGGTGAGTGGAATGAACTGGTGACAACATAAAGGGGGTTTTATGGGTTGTGCCAATGAAATATTTGCCATGCATGTTGTTAAGACTCCGTCTGTATAAATTGATGGTCTCCACATATCTCCACATACACATTGACAGCATTTCAAGAAGGAACAAAAACACAAAGAATTAACAAATAGAAAAATAAACAACCACTATCAACCACTCACTTACCAGCACCACCCAGATCAAGTGGTTTTATAGACCCCCCAGGTCGATGTATGTTCTATCCAATTTTCGGGTCAGTTTTTGGTTTGGAATTAGATGGAAAGGCATGGCGAAGGAGATGGGTGGAAGCCTTATAGGATAACCGCCCGAACTGGGTCGTGCTGGTGGGACTTCAATAAAACCACACCTTTAGAAGTCCTGCCTGTGACACTGTGACGACTCGTACCTCGATTGGAGAACGATCGACTATGAGCAACAGCTATAAAAAACAAGTCCTTATATGTCCTTATGGATGCTGGAATGTATTCCTGATAGTCAAGTCCTGGCTGCAGGAAGAGGATCAGTGTATAGGGTAATCGAAGCCAGGTCGTCCGGAACGGATGATTCAGGTAGTTCAAACGATGGACGCGAGACACTGCTAGTACATTCCGCATATACACCTCCAGGAGGTTATACCTCCTCAGGGTCGGTATGACTGGACCCGACGGAACGACTGGAGGCCTAGGGTTAATGCATGGGGGATCTGATTATAGTTTCAGCCATCTATGATCGACATGGGGGACCTGATTTTGGAACGAGTTACTTCACTCCGGATTTTGTAGTTTTGTGGAGCTGGAGGACTCAGTCGGATAGCATCTGTCCAACTCGGCTTGCGCCTAACTAGCCACGTTCGGCCGCAAAGTTGGCAGATCTTCTATAGGTATATGCGAAGTGGATTTAGTTATATTCACACCGCTTCGCAGTCGAAGCCGCCCGCGCAGATCGCAACCTGTGCTCTCTCTCGGAGCCGGGAAAGTGTTGTCTGGGGTAGTGGGCGCGAGTGTGAAGAAGCAGTCAGAAGGCACAGTCATTTGAGAGAGTTTATGTTTCAAGGCGTAAAGGTTAATTCATGCTCACATACTCCTGCCACCTCGGTGGCGCAAGTAGAATTGCCTAAGCAGAAATCGATTTCCTCATCGTTAAGCGAAGCTGCCATTGCTAAAACTGCATCCCGATCTAGAGGGGCCAAAAGTCCGCACCCTAACCGCCTACCGCTGGCCAAATGGTCTCGCACAGAAGTTGCTTGTCAGACGCCGCAAGCATGGGCCCTTACTTCATCATCCTGCCCCCCCCGCATTAGGGAGGCTGACAATCGAGCAGCAGTGATAGCTACTAGAGGACGTGACTGCGCAGTGCCTTTGACGTCATGCACCACAACGAGTATGAGCTCATCCTATGGCGATCCTGTCGGTCCAAGAGGTTGGCTTCCCTCCTGCATGGTCCTGTGTTCGTCCCACCATCCCAAGTGGGAGCGCATCCCCAGAAGTGTCGCCAGCAATGAAATGCCAGTAAAATCGAACTTGAAATCTGTTTCGGACCGAGTCGATCGACTGTGCGATGTCCATAATGCAGTCTCCCCCGACCGGCATCACCGGCATCGCCAACGTCTGGTCCAATTTTGGTCGCTTTTCGAAAAACTTTAAAAAACACTGCATTTCTAGGATAAAAATGCCCCCCCCAAGCTAAAGCTTAGGATTGATCTAGCCGGATTCCTTGCGATTTACACGAGCCTACACAACGCCCTCGGCACCTCCGGTGCGGGCGGATTTTGGTTTTGGTGTTGTTGAGAAGGGCATAGGAGGTTCATAGCAACTCAAATCAAAGTGTTCAAAGTTCTCTACTAGATTAAGGGGGGGTTGGACTAAGGCCTATACCTAGATCCTCCAACTGTGCCAAATGTCTGTTTTGTGGCTGGCTTTATAGATGGAAAGGCATCAATTTGACACCGTTGGAAGATCCAGGTATAGGCCTATTATATGCTAAAGCACTCACCGGAGGACTGGCCGTGTTTGCTTCCGCCAGGCGCGAGTTCACCCGTGACCCGCCGCGACGTGAGTCCCTCCGCGGTCGACCTTGACACCCATCATGGCCATCATCTTCACGATTTCGCTCCCTGGCACCTCGAGGTGTCGAGTGTTCGAGCTGGGGGCTTTGGGCACTGAACATCCGACTCCTCAGCAGCTAGTTTGGAGCACTAGGGACCATCAGTCATTCAAGGTAAGGTGAGGTGAATAGTAGGGAGTCCTACTCCAAACACGACCAGTGGGACTGGCATATTCAGTCAGGGATCAATATATAGGCACATATCGTGGAGCCGTGTCTGGCAGTTTGGTCAATTCAATGTGTCATAAAACTTTTTTGTTTTGAGTTGTGTGTTTTTCACGCATCTGGTTACAAACACTGGTGCATCTTTGTAGCAGGTGCAAGGGCCACAGTCGCAACACCCACTCTCGCAGACCGTTGTGGCAGGAATCCCCCAAGGGCAAAGGTCTGCCGGCTCATGTTGGCCAAGCTCACCCAGTGCCATCGGAAAGTAGTCAATGAACCTGTTCCCACCGGTGGGGTCTCGTTGGTTGATACCCGTAGCAGCGGTCCAAAATGGTTGACCTAGAATGACCTAGACCACGGACCGACATGGTCAAGTAGGTCTGCTTTTCTCTGACAAACCCACAACACTCCCTGAAACCATGATGGAAGTGGAACAGTTCGGCCCCTGCAAGATCCTGTTTAACATCTTTTAACTATCGTTTCCTCTAGAAGTGGGGCTTGCTCAACCCAGGACCATCCCAGGATACCCAGACAGGACGGTCCAGGACTTAAGAATAGTTCTTTCAGTCCATGTCCAATCCATTAAGAATCAATGCCCTATCATCTTGGCCAGTCATAATAGTACATATATGACATATATGTCTCATTTTCAGCCCTGGCTCCGTCGGCTTCAGCAGGTCGTGTGCTTCCATCGCGTTCTTCGCTCAGTGCGGCGCTCGAGCCACATGTGTGAGCCGCCGGATCACACTGCCCAGGGTCAGCTCCCTGCGAAGAGCGAGTGTCGTGCCGGAGTGGCGAGCCGTGTGTTCTTCCGTCCGAGTGAGGAAGTACCGGACCTGGAGGTCCTGATTCAGTCCCAATTTGCGAGGAAGAAATGGATCTTTATCCGTCTCAGCCATATCCTATATGTAAATAAAGGATCTCAAGCAAACCATTATAGTATTGGAATCAACATCTTTCTTTTCTGGTTCGTTTGGGGTTCCAGGTCATTACAAGGGGTCCACATTATGCCCTCCTTTGAAAGGTGGTATACGATGTTATGATTTGTCCAAACTGTGTGGTCACACTTAGGGGTTCTTACAGTATAGGCGTTACGGTTTTTGTTTGAATTGTTTTCAGTGGGTGTCCTGTCCGGATGTGCTTGCATCCTGATAGCGAGATTAGGTGTTTTGGAGTTGACATGGCCTTCAGTCGCCGATTTGCGGGTGTCATTCGGACTCAAAGGCTTACGGTCAAGAAGAATCCTAGCCCACCCTGGATTTCATAGCCGGGTCATTCCAAAGCCAAAGAGTTTGATCAATTTCCAATTAGTGAACACGGTCTTTAAGCGGCGAACGTGAAGCATGGTCCCGTTTGGCCTTCAGTCGTACCGAACCGGGTCGGTACGGTGGGACTGGGGTGGGTTTTTTTGGAGGGTCCAGGAGCTACCGAACCTGAGGAGGTACTTTCCTGGAGCTGTATATACGGATATATACGGAATATACCAGGACCCTCCGTTTTCGGGATGCCCTGTCTGGAAGCCGAACGGCCGGATCCGTGTGGGGTAGTCCAGCCAGGGGGTGTTTCCTATTGCAAAAAAATACACCTGAAACGAGCTCTGTGGTCGAACGTTCCTGTGGAACCACTGGACCCTCCACCGGGTTACCTGGTGCGAGCGGTGGTGCACGGTCAACAGGACTTCAAAAGTCCTGCGTCCAATGGTCATTTAAAGAATCATCTCTTGACTACCCCCTAGAAGTCCAAAGACTATATTTTGACTGGCTGAAGTAAAGGAAGTTCCCTTTCAGGTCCCCTAAAGACCATTCTTTTTACAGTCTTTGACTCCCAGGGTACCTGTAGTCTTGTAAGTTACCTTGGAAAATGGGTAGCCTTGCATGCCAGTTTTTTTGTTCAGGTCATGTCCCGTCAAAGGTGGGTCAGTCGGGTGCCAGGCGACCTGAATGTCAGGGGTGACGTCCTTTCCAGTGAAAAGAGATCGTCGAACTGGACATCCTAGGGCCCTCCGGCCCGACGAGAGCTGCTCCGCGGCGCGGGCCGCGCCTCTCTTTCTGAAGTCGCTGGGCCTCCTCCGCCTGCGGCCCAGAGCATCCCCCCAACTGGCGTGATTCGACCGGAAGGAGGGAATGAATCCAAGTCGGAGTCTCTTCCCACACCCCAGTGGACCCAGTCTTGAACGCCCCCTGTTTTGATAGCACGTTTGACCATTTTGGGGGGGGTGGTTGGTGATCCAAAGATCACTCCCTGCGAGTCGTTGCACACCAGTCAGCAAAAAATCGACCTATGGCGACCTACCCTAGAAGTCGAACCACCATTTCGAGTCGAACCACCATTTAATATAGCCTTATTCCAGGACAAGCATTGGTTTTGCACCACAGAAACCACATCTAAACCAGGCTGGACTTGGTTCGACCAACTCCGGTGGGCTTCACCTGGGCACCCAGACGCAGGGAGTCCGTTCGTTCACCAACAGCCGAACGAACGGAGGGGTGGTCGAGTCGACCAGCGCGCCTCGGCCAAGACCTGTGCAGCCTGCACGGCCTGAGCGGAGGAAGGTGGTCATGGCAGTGGTCAATCAGACGTCGAACCGGGCACGGCGTTTCACAAGGGTTTGGGGCCCCTCAAAACCCTTGGTTTTTGAGGGTGCGGATCCTTAGGGTGAAAACAATGGAAAACACAAACGTTTAAAAGGCTTTCGCATACAACCACCATCGCATACAACATGATACGACCATGTTTTTTGGCCCTGGATTGGATTGGTTGTTAAGATCTTCAGCATCTGGATGGCCCTTCCACCACCACCTGTATCGGCCGCTCCAAGACGCAGAAAGCCGTCGGCCGATCTTGGGCTGTTCTCGGGCTCTCTTCGCTGCCGCCTGTGCCGATGCTGGGGAAAACGTCAAGCTGTGCCACCACATCGTCAGTGGTCGGGGTGGTGATACAGGTGGGGTTGGGGTGGGGTGGTTTGGTTTGGTTTGGGGTCTGTCCCGAAGCCTTCTGAGGTGGTTGGTGCTCAAAGTGTCTCTCATCCAACTCTCAAAACAAAGCGGGGTCACGGGGCTGTTGGCGACCCAGCCCGCTTGTGAATCTCCAGCCACACCTAGAAACACAGGTCCAGGTATCTTTGTCGAACTCTGTCAGAATGTTTTTGTTTTTTTCTCAAAGTTGGTTTGTTCCAGCACCCTCCAACAGGTCTCCTCTGGTGGCTTTTGGAGACTTAAAAGTCGCAGGTGGTGACCTGTTGGAGGGTCCTGGTTTATGTTTGTTTTGTTGTCAGTTTCTTGAACCTCTGCGAGGAACTTCTACTGTGAAAACTCCAAACCAAAATTTGAAGAATTCTGCATCTAATAGCACGGAATCTTAGGGGAAGGCCAAATTCTTGAAACAGCCTGGACCCTCCAAAGTACCTTAGAAAATAGGACATGACCCCATAAAAACAGGTACTTGTACCCATTTTCCGAGGTACTTTGAGACTCCAGGAAGACGTTAACATTTCAAACATCTCAACTCCATGTCATAGGATCTTTAGAAACTCCTGGGAATCTTCAGCAAATGTGATACGAACCCATTCAAGATCCTCAACAAGCAACACCCCTAATGTCCAGTCGATGTATCATCAATCAAACAGTGGAGAACCACTGACATATTGATCAACTCATGGTTTAACCATACAAACAAGTATCGTATCCAGGGACTCCGCCGCGTGGCTGCCCACCGGGCCAAGGCTGATGTCGTCCGTGTGCCACCCGGGTCGGTGGCCTCCAGCTCCTCATCTCTCTGCTGCACCAAGGTGTTGAAGAGCTCTCGGAATTGCCCCACCTGAGACGGACGGAGGCGGAGAGCAGTTTTCGGAGCGGATTGAATCGGCCGGATGCATCCTCAAGCCCTCTGGATTGAATGACCTCCCAATTCGAGAAGGAACAACAAAACACAAAACCAGGAAGTACATAAGGACTGAGGGGACCTTTGGAAAAGTCCTCATGCTTTGAAAAACCGGTATCGTCTTCCCCCACTGAGTCAAATCCAACGCACTCAACACCAGGACCCGACTGCCAGGTCACCACCAGGTCCACGAAAATGGAGACTTAACAGGGTTAAGTCTCCATTTCAGCTACCGAACATCGGAGACCTGGCAGGGAAGACCCGGCTGGCATGGAGTCGGTTCCGCCTCACCTGTCCGCTCTTGTCTGCCCCCCGCCTCCTCTGCGGAGAACTCCACCGCCTCGGGCTCCGCTCCGCTCGGTGGTGGCGACCGAGACCGGGGAGACGAGCGATCGTTCCTCCGACCGATTGTTCCTCCGAGCAGCCGATCGTTCCTCTCAACCGAACGTGAGGGGTGTTATGCTTTTTGGGGGGGAGGGGGGTGGGGGTGTTTGCTGTAATATCATGCATGGAAAGCAGAAAGCGCGTCGTTAGCAACCACAAGAGGAAAGAGGGGGGTGTTTTGGGGGGTCGTTTTTTTGGTCGGCAACCTCGGCAAATCCACAGTATCTCAATATCGATGGCCGCCACCCAGAGCTATATAGCTTATAAGGCTTAAGCCGTTTTTTGGGTGGACAGAACAAAATATAAGATAACCTAGATAATTATCCTGATCATCCTGTCTGGGTGTCCTGGCGTTCGACTACCCTACCCATCCCTACCCTATAGACTTACAGGTCTCCTACTCCTGGGCACCCGGACAGGAAGTGCTAGGTACTTAAATGTCTTCACAAAATTGACAGAACACAAATCCACTTCTACCAGCACCTTCCAAAAGGTCTCTCTCCTCTGGAGGCTTTTGGATACTTAAAAGTCGCAGGTGGTGACCTGTTAAGTCGGGTGCTGGTACTTGGATGTTGTCATGATCCGCACCCTTTTTCAGGATCATGTCGGCAAAGCACGTCGTCTTCTTCGACCCAAAAGTTCGTCTCGTCCGTTCATCTCGGTCATTCTCGGTCTGCGGCCAGGAGGGCCGCATCCTCTCGCTGAAAGACCTGACTGAACCGTCGCGGAGGCGTTCGGCGAGCGAGGCTCGGCAAGCTCGGAGTGGGTTCGGTGTGAACGGCATGGACGATCGAAAAAGAAAAATGGTGGCAACCAGAAAGAAGTCTGGTTCCCAGTGCTTCCACTTCCGAACAGTTGGTAAAGGATCTCAAGCTGGCGCCATCTCAAAGGCATGCTATAAGACCCAGGGCATCCAGGCAAACCACTGTATCTGGTAACTGGTTCCAAAGACTAGAACCATATAGACCGAACAAAACCCTGGTTCCTTATGTTCAGCAGTATGCATGCATGGTAACTGGAATCCACTGGGAAAGGAGTCTCTGGGCTTAAAGGGACTGTTCTAAGAAGGCCGCTTCGGACGAAGAATGTGCTGGATAGTTCGTATAAACATGATTAATCAGGATCCTAACTTCCAATGGGTGCCCAATGGAGACCTATAAGTCTAGTAGGAGCTATAATAAGCAGGAGCTTGTTCTCAACCAAAGGTCACACTTCAAAATACAACCATGCAGCTATTTGTTCTCAGGGGTGTGCGTCTTCGTGAGCTGTTTCTGAGGATTACATGGGATACCGGTCCAAAACGGCCTCAACTTGCACACAGCATTGAGGCTGGTGGGAGTCAGCAACACCAGTAACTCCACCCTGAAGATGATTTAAAAAAAACACTGTCAGAACCACAAAGTGTTTAGGAATGACACCTGAAAACCACGACTTTACAAAACCAATCCCAGACACTCCATGTATGCCATACCTAGATCTTCAGTCCGGCACTTTTACAGGGTCCGGCGCCGGACTTCCAACTCCGGCGTTTTTCTGGACTTGGTCCGGCGGTTTTTCCAAGTCACTTGAAATGTGGATTCTCAAGGCTTTGCATTCTTTGTGGCTTGCATTTCTTTGAAGGTAATGATTTGCTTGCAAAGTGTGCTCATTTGCCTGTTCCGCTGTTTTCTCATTCCACCGGTTTCAGCATGGTTCACACTGGATCAATCAGATCCGTTTAGGTGATCTTCTAAGTGAAATCGGATGAAATTGGTACAGTGCGATGCACGTGTTGAAAGACCCAAGTGGGAGTACCTAAGCTGAAAGAACATAGGCAAAGATGTACTCCCATTGTTTCAGGATGTCGGGGCGCTGGGATATAATTAGTTCTAGTTGCGCAGGTTTGCAGAGCCTGCCGGACAAGTTTTGGGCTGTGGAACATGTGTTGTTCAGAATCTCAATGTTTTGCAGAGAGTTGCTAAGAAAAATTGCACGTCGTAACTCCGGCGTTTTTTCCCGTAACTCCGGCGTAGTTTCCCGTAACTCCGGCGTAATTTCCCGTAACTCCGGCGTAATTTCCCGTAACTCCGGCGTATTTTGTTGGACTCAGTCTTTTTGAAAAGTTTTTCAACTAAGAGTTTCGACAGGAACCATGAGTGCTGCTACTTTATTGGCGGGGCCGTCCTGAGGCAAGCAATAAAAAACAATTTAAAACCATATAAGAATCATGGAGAGCCACTTTGTAAAAAACAATTAGAGACACGGGTGCAGAGAAATAGGGGTTCCTTGCCACATACTCCTTGGTTTCTTCTTGGAAGTCTTTGCTTGGGCACAAGTTTGCTTATATTTTGTGATGGTTCTGCTCTTAGGCCATTCGGAAGATGGGCGAGGGCAATGGGAACGGGAAGGCTCCAGTGCTGGGTTGTGGAATGAGTGTGTTCCAGAAAAAACTACTTGTGGCGCAAAGGCAGTTTGCTTGTGTATGATCCAGCCTTTTATCATCTCTGTTTTTCAGAATCTTGGATCCGGATGTTTTTTCAGGTCTCCGGCGTTTTTTTCGGAATCCGGCGGAAAAATTTGCCGGATTGAGGTCCGGCACTTTTTTCCGCCCAAAGGAGGATCCAGGTATATCTGAGTGAATTCAACTAATTTCATTAATTTCGTTCACCTCGTACCTCGTCTTAATTCAATGTTTTGAAATTATTCACCTCGCCTCGTTTAATTTGAATAATTTCAATCACCTCGTCTGCCTGCCTTCCTGCCTGCCTGCTTGCCTGGCTCCTGGCAGGCTGGCTGGGTGGGCTGTCTGTCTGTCTGTCTGTCTGTCTATCTGTCTTCTTGACCCCTGGCTGATCGGGGGTTGCTTGTGCTTGGCTGGCACCTGCACCGAGTGAGCGGGTGGGTGGCTCCAAAGCCTTTGAAAAAAGTGTTCTCTTGAGGGGGGCTGGTCTATGTTCAATTGAGCTGCTTGGCACCGTTTCCTGACCTACTTGGGCTGGCTAGGGCCCGAGACAACATCAACAAGGCCGCAAACCAATCCACAGTCGTGAAACCCTATTTCGCCGAAATAGGGTTGTTTCATGGGGCTTGCCTGTTTGAGCTGTTCAGCACAGTTTCCATACCTAGTGGGGCTGGCTAGGGCCCGAGACAACATCAACAAGGCTGGAAACCAATCCACAGTCGTGAAACCCTATTTCGCCGAAATAGGGTCGTTTCAGGGGGCTTGCCTTTTAGGGCTGCTCGGCTCAGGATCCTTACTTACTAGGCTTTGGTAGGCCGGGAAACCAGGCCAAAACGGTAGCGAGCCAATCAACCGTTGTGAAGCCCAATTTTTGCCCAAAAGGCTTTGTTTTAAAGCCTCTAATTAGTGACCCAATCTAATAAATCAACGCGCCAGCGGCGTAGTTGGATACACTCCGGGCTTCGAAGCGCAACGCTCGAGTTCGACCCCTGCCTCTGAAAGCTTTGGAAGCTTTTTCTCTTTTCCCACGAGTGCGTGTGCGCGCGCATGTGTGCGTTGTGCGCGGGTCGGGAGTGCTTAAGTGAGAAGAGCGTTTCCTTACCGACCGATCCATGATCATGACACTCCTTTTTCGCCAAAGTCGGAATTTTTCATGGCACTTTCCCATTTGAGCTGCTCAGCATGGTCTCCTGACCTAGCGGGGCTGGCTAGGGCCCGAGACAACATCAACAAGGGTGGAAACCAATCCACAGTCCTGAAACCCTATTTCGCCAAAATAGGGCTTTTTCATGGGGCTTGCCTACTTGAGCTGTTCAGCACAGTTTCCTGACCTAGTGGGGCTGGCTAGGGCCCAAAACAACATCAACAAGGCCGCAAACCAATCCACAGTCCTGAAACCCTATTTCGCCGAAATAGGGTTGTTTCATGGGGCTTGCCTGTTTGAGCTGTTCAGCACAGTTTCCTGACCTAGTGGGGCTGGCCAGGGCTTAAGACAACATCAACAAGGCTGCAAACCAATCCCCAATCGTGAAATCCTATTTCGCCAAAATAGGGCTGTTTCTTGGGGCTTGACTATTTGAGCTGCTCAGCATACGTTCCTTACCCAGTAGGCCTGGCTAGGGCCTGAGACGTCAAGAAGGCTGCTTGGCTTGGTGGAGTCTGGAGTCCTGGTGCTGGACTTACCTCGCATAATTTCGTTTTGAAATTACTGTACCTCGTACCTCGCCAAGTGAGCTCGCAATAATTCGCTCAGGTACATTGACCCCCCTGGCACCACCCTAACTGATCGGCAGTCCTATGGCAGTCCCATGGGTGTCGTGTCTGGGAATGGTCACCAGCTCCACGTTCGACCACTCATGGACCCCAAAACCTCCAAGTACCAGACGCAAGCGAGCCTAATAACTCCCAAGCGCATGGTACCAGACCTCTAGCTGGTCTCCAGCACTTATGTCAACTGCCTGGAGTCTCAGTTTGTACCTCGCAAAATGGGTACAAGTACCTGTTTTTATGGGGTCATGTCCCATTTTCGGTACTTTGGAGGGTCCAGGTGCTTACGTCAACTGCCTACCCAGTCTGTTGGCGCCGACACCACGTCGGCGTCCCGGCCGAATCGTGATGGTTCTTCACCGTCTCGTAGACAAAGTGCACCTGAGGCACCCGCGCCCCGCCAGGCACCGAGGAAGAGAACACCCAGACCATCCATGGGACCGGCCGGATGGTTTCCAGTTCTGTTGGCCTTTTTCTAGACCAGCTTGTCGATGCAGGGCTACCCAATCACTCCGGAGCCAGTCTTTTTGGGATTGGAGCCGCCCAAACAGTGGCCCGCCACGACCCTCGTTCCAATGCGTCCACCGCAAGGCTCCGCTCACCCACACTCCAACCCGCTGCTCACTGGGCCACTCCCACCACAGGCATGAAGCGCACTCGAGGGCTACTCAGTCCTCCAACCTCAAAGCCGCTCGGTGAACTCTCCAGCGCTCGGTCAGCGATCCGAACGAAAAAGTCCCATCCCACCCGCTATACCCTAGGCTTCCAACAAACACCATTAATTTAATAGGTGTTACCCAATCAACTAAGGATTTTACACTACAAAAACCAGGTCAACCATTGTTTTACTGGTCTTGGAAGTCTAGGGTATAGATATGTCGCTGGCAGGATCAGCCGGAGATGTTTTTTGGGTTGAGGGTAGTATCTTTGGGCCGTCCTTCTTTTTCCGGCTTTCATCCCGTCCATCTGGATTCTTTTTTTGGGGGGGTGGGTCAGGTCGGACGCAACGGACCTCTTTCGGGCCGCCGGCTGCGGCTCATGAATTCGGGGTTCCCCCAAAGCTCCCGGCCGCAAGGGTTGACCCCCTGTTGGACATTTCCCATGACGCTCCGGCCGGTCTTTTGAGACTGGTGTTGCTCATCCAAGGCGCCCACTCATCGCACTTCTACAGGTGAAACTTAAGATATACCCAAACGCTCACGGACCCTCATATTTCCAGGGGTCTGGGTTTTTTCACCAATCCCTAGGTGTATCAAGGGAGCAGGAAAGGTCGTGAACGACGGAGCGTCGACTGGGTATTATAGATTAATCCAACTTCACCTCTTTCCACCCAGACGCTGCGTGAACGACGCCCTTTTGGTCCCTCAAAACCTATAGGGATTGGTGAGAAACCCCAGACCCCTGACCCGAGGATTCGGGTCCGACCCCTCCATAGGTTCGGGCCCAGGGTCGCGTCTGGGCACATGCTCCTTTTCAGCGGAGTGTCGGATGAAACCGCCCGCCCGCCTCGGCTTTGGGCACACCAGCCTCCAGGGCAGCCTGCGGGACTCAGTCATCGGACGGGGTGTCTGGGGTCTCAACTCCGTTCTTGAACCCAACTGGTCTGATTTTGTGATCCGATGTCTGGAATTCCTGGAAAACTTTGGGTAATGCCAATATCCAAATACCTAGAGAGGTTGAAGAGCCCCATAGCTCATCCCATATGTACCACTACAGGGTCCTATAAGGTCTCTCGACCTCTCTTGGTATACTCTTGACTCGCGTTTTATAGTTCTAAATCGTCCGTTCTGGATGACCTGGCTGGACTACCCTACACTATACTGGTGGACCTGCAGCCAGGACACCTGACCTGAACAGGATGATCCTGGTATCAGGAATATGTCCAGCATCCATAATAATGAGGACTCACTGCTGGACTTGTTCAGGCACCCTCCAAGACCTCCAAAAAGATACCAGGCATTCTGCTACCAACCGAAGTCCGGCTGCCCCCCGCTGGTATGGCCACGGCCACTTTGAAGCACACTGGTACCAGGATCATCCTGTCTGGGTGTCCAATAGACTACTCTAACCTATGTCTCCAGGCACCCAAACAGGAAGTGCTATAGGTATGAAGAAAAGATGTCCCCGCCTACCCCAGCTGGTCCAAGTCGCAGGTCAAGTCTCCCTGCGCCTCCCGTGCTCTTTCCAGCTGCTCATACCTCGGCGCGGTGCGGCACAGCGCCGTGGCGTTGGTGGAGCACGGAGCCGATACCTCGCGCCGAAGGGTTTCAAGACCGTGTCCAAAGTCAACCTCACAAGGACCAATGTCGAGCACAAAGCCAGTGGCCCAGCAGGACATGTTTTGGACCCAGCTCCTGGACCGGTTTGGTTCGGGACCAGGAAAGGGCGTCGTGAATTCGGAGCGTCTGGGGACAACAAAAATAAAGACGTCGAAACGCCTCAACCATCCTGCACCCGAAGTGATCGGTCCTTCAAGCTACCGAGGGCTGCAGTCACCAACACTGCGGTCGCGTCGCAGCGGTTCGGGCAGTTCCATCCGGGAAACCGGGAAGAAGATCGATCGATGGGTCAGAATTCGGTCCCACCAGACTTGACTCTCCAAACTGGCACGAAAAACCCGATCACAAGTAGGGTCATGCAGCTCACTGACTTGGAGCATCACCAGTTCCAGATCGTGCCTGCATGATGGTTTTCGAAGACCCGCGCCTCCCACCCTCACGGACCACCTCACGTTCCTCCGCCAGCCCTGCGCCCAGTCGCGTGCGCGCGCGGCCGTTGACGGTGTTCACTTGGAGGTCGGTATCGCTCAGAAGCCATAGAAAGCTACCCATGGAGATGGCGCCCTTCCTGCCGAACTCACGTCCGTGCCGTGGCCCGCGGCGGCTTGTGGCTCGGTGGAGCTCGTGTCAAGGACATGAAAGGCAGTGGGAAAAGTGGACTTCCCAGACGCGACCCTGGGCCCGAACCTATGGAGGGGTCGGACCCGAATCCTCGGGTCAGGGGTCAGGGGTCGAACCAATACTTAGGTTTTGAGAGACCAGTCGGGCTGTTTGGAGCGTCTGGGTTGGTGATCAAAACATCGAAAACACCAAGTGGATTTCTACGACTTCAACAGGTGATAACGCTTTCCAACTGAGTACGAAGCAGGGTTCGGGTGGCCGGGTGGCAGTTCGGGAGCGCACTCGGGAGTGTATCGGTGAAGAAGGTCGATGTCGGTGGTCTGTGATGGAATGCTTACAATGCACCCCTTTGTGACTTCATGACAAAGTACAAATTCGATTATTCCCAGACGCGACCCTGGGCCCGAAAGATGGAGGGGTCGGACCCTCATACCTGGATCTTCCAACGGTGTCAAATTGATGCTTTTCCATCTATAAAACCAGCCAAAAAACAGAAATTTGAGTTGGAGGATCTAGGTATGGAGGGGTCTGGGGTCTCAAGTCCCTAGGTTTTGAGGGACCAAGGGCTGTTTGGAGCGTCTGGGTTGATAAATATTGTTTTATTGGTCTTCCTGTGTTTAAAAGCCCATTAATATTGTAAAGGACTCTCTTTTGAGGAGGTCTGGATGTCCTTCTCCAACAAACGTCCCTGATGCAACTGAACTTCCTGCGTGCGTGTGCTACCTTTGACACAGTCATCAAAGGCACATCAATCGCATCGTCAGCGTCGGCGGCCTTGAACATACTGCCGGTTAAACAAAAACACGGCGGGCCGCGTTTAGTTGTCTTCCTCAGTCCCGACCGCCACCAGACCCCCGGAGCTTTCGGCATCATGCGATTCAAAGGACCGTCGCAGATCCTCGATCTCCTGAGCCGGATTCGACGAAAACGCTTCGACCGGGCGGAGCCCATGGACCCGGATCGGTCGGAACCGGTGTGTACAGGAAAAAGCACCTGTGGTTGGGTACCCCCCAAAAACAGCCTCTGGATGCCTGGCTAAACGTATTGCCTGTTGACCACCGAATCGGTGTTAGGGTCCCAAACCAGCCCCTTGGAAGGCCCTGTGTGACGGTTTACGGTGTTTGTATGTGTTTGTTGAATTTTGAAGCACCAAAAAGGGTCCCTCACCTCTGACGGACAGCGAAGGTCGGCGTCTGAGACGTGAGAAGACCGAGTGCCACGACAGACACCTTGGACAGGTTCCCGCCCTTACCCAAACACTCCATGGGACTGCCATACTAGGACTGCCGAGTTTCAAGGCCAGGGGTGGTGGTGCCTATCGGGGCCTTTCTGGGGCGGTCCTATGGCAGAAAGCCCATGACAGCACTACTTCACCCGACTCACTACTTCACCCGGCCGCCCTTTCGCACCACACACCGCAGCGTTTCGCACCACAAAAAACGCCATGCGGTACCGGCACCGTGCGGTTGGCGAGCGAGCGTGGGACATCTGACCCTTGCTTTTCACGGAGGGTCCAGATCTGTGCGATCTGGGCCACATCGTTCAGACATCCAACAGAGGTGGGGAGCGAACCCGAACGTTCGACTATCCCAGGAACCGGTACCCCAGGTGTTCCTCGATCCGTGACCTGGTCACTGGCTACCTCTCTTGGTTGAGCGGAGTCCACCGAACCTTCGCCATGAGGTTGGGGGTCCTCCACCGCCGCGTCCTTTCACCCGAGCGAGAAAGACACCGGTGTCACCAAACGCGTGGAGCGGCGAGCGCGATCTAACGCGCGATCACGCGATCTAACGCCGGTTTCTCCCCCGATCACGTTCCCACGCTGCCTGCAGGGTGAAGTGCGCGAATTTCCGGTTCTCCTGCGGGATGGTCTTCCGGCAGAAATCCGCCACCTGGCCCGAGTGGACGCGCATCGACACCAGAGTCAAACACGACTCATGGGACTGCTGACAGGGTCCTGGTAGACCAAAAAGCTGTACCTTACCCAGGACTTCCAATGACTCATTTTACTCCACCCAGTAGTCATAATCCACCACTACCATAGGGGTAAAATGAGTCATTTGGACTGTTAGGGTTAATTATACATCAGCACCTTCCTGGCCAGGTTCTTTGGAGACCCTATAACAGGTGGTGAACCTGGGCACCGGACTTGGAAACACAGGAAGCACCTGTAGAGTCGGGTGCTGGCATGGGTACCAATATGTAAACGCTCGGTCCCGGTGGCACAACTTGTGGCCTACATGACTGGTGAATGACTGGGGTGATGGGCGCAACTGGATGGCCAGGCTGGTGCGCTCACCGGAGCGAGCGTATATGCAGCTCAAGACATGGGAGACCGACCCCCAACAACGAACCCCCTCGGGTTCGGTTCGGAACCTGCCACGGACCGAGGCCGGTGACACCTCCGCAGTTTCCGGGAATCCAGAGGTGGGTCAGAACCCTATACCAGCACCAACCCAGTGCGGGTGGCTATTGGATGACAAATACATCTTCGGAAAATTCTATAAACCATCCGACCTGGGTGGTGCTGGTAGACTATATAGGTACCCCAGGTGACAGGTCCGACTCGTGACCTGGTATGACCTGGTCTCTGGGCACCTCTCTTGGATCCCATGCACCTCGGCTCTGCTCTGCTCGGCTCGTGCCTTCAGAAATCCCTCGAAGGAGAGCGACGGCTGCTCCTGGCGTCCGTCCACCTTCAGATCCGACCGGTCTGAAGAGAAGCTTTAGGACCAGTGGGGCTGTGGTGAAACACGGAGCGGACCTGAAGATGATGAGTGAAACAAACACCACTTGTTCTTGCTCCAAGCAGAGTGAATTCAAGTTTTGGTGATCCAGAGATTCAGCAGGACCAGCCCTCCTTTCTGATAGACTCACTTAGACTCACTAATTAGTCTTTGACTGGCATTTGCACATGAAGTTGATGCACATGAATGGTCACCTCCATGGCGCGTCTGCGGTGGGCATTGCACGGGCATCCGAGAAAACGAAGAAGCCAGCGAGATCGTCCGGCCGATCAGGCGGCCGAAGAGACACTGACCAGGACCCTCTAAGCTGCCAGGTCACCACCTACGACGTTCAAGTCTCCATGGTTCAGCCTCCATAAAGAAAAAACGCCTGCCAGGGAGGGAGGGTCCTGGTAGATGTTGTAGGTGCGACAGCAGATCCGGACGGAGATTCTGGATCTCACCCTGGCGTGTTTCTCCTGAATCTCTCATGCAAGTCAAGACTCAGTTTGGAAGGAAAGGATTCTTGATAATTCTTCCCAATTGGAGGTCGGTTTTTCATCAAGTCAAGCAGAACCCAGAGCAGAGTTTGAAGAGATGCCTCAGGCACGATGCCTCTTTCGCATCTTTCAGGGGAAGTCAGGCGGCTGCTTGAGCATTGAGCATGCGATTTTGGACTATCTTGGGCTATACCAGCACCTCACTGCCAGGTCACCAATTGAAACCTGTTAGGGCCTATAACAACCCTCCATTTCGGACTCCTGGCAGGGAAGGTGCTGGTAGAGGATTCCACTTTCAGCTGATCACCTTCCAGACATATATGATCCAATCAGCTGATCATGGCGGCTGACGCGGACGGCTACGTGTTCATCCACTTCCAACTTCCCACCTCTCCATGCAAATGACGTCCGAAGTCTTCCGAATGCTGTGCAGCTCCGAAACTTGGCCTATGTCCATTCGGACGAGGACGACATCCGGTACATGGCTTCTCAATCAGCAGTTTCTGGACCAAGATCCATATAGCACCTCCTGCAGAAATAGGGGTCAACTTCTTCCATGTGGTGACCAAACCGCTCCAAACCGCCACTGAGCAAAGCCTCTGCTCATGTCCGGACTGGACCAGTCCACGCTCACAGGTCCCTTCCGGAGGCTGGAGACGTCGAACGTGGCAGACTTCTGTGGCATCCTTGACCTGTTGAACGTTGAGTGCTGGAAGATGGGTCTGCAATCGAATCAACATTGAGAGACCTATGGTGACCTATATGACTACCAGGGGCCCCACATGGCCCATCAAAAACCCAGGTGTTCCGCAAACAAACATGGTTTTCACACGTCCAAAGTCATATGTCCTTTTTCGGCCTATATACCAGGACCCTCCGAGGTTCGGCTGCTTTGGGATGGTGAACCTGGGCACCGGACGAACGCCAGGAAACACCTGTGACCTACGGTAGTTTTCGTGACCAGGTCACGAGTCGGACCCGGAACTACCAGGGGTACCGAGTTTGTTCGGAGAGTCGAGTTCGTTCGGGTTCTGACCCACCTCATGCTGGGAAGTCAGGATCCATGGGTCATCTTCCAACAGAGGTTGAATGACCCTATAGACTATCCCAGTTCGGTACCCCAGGTGACGGGTCCTAGTTCAAGTCACTTAACCTCTCATGGTTGGTGGGGTTTCTGCTCTCCTGGAACTTCGGGCGGGCGCAGCGTCCCGACCGCCGGGGATCTCCTGGTCGTAATCACCGGAGTCCTGGACGAGCGGGATGTGTTCGGTTGATCTCATCATGTACAAGTCCAGTTTGACCCGGTAAAACTGGGGTCTTTGACCTCCTTGAGTATGGTGTTGTATGACTAGCTCCAGCCATTCATTTTGGTCATTGACCTTGGACTGGCGTGGTGATATTGATGGGAAGGACCAGAACACGACCTGGGACTGGCAGCAAAAAGCGATCGGTCAGGGAGTTGGTTGTGCATCAGGGGGGTGTTGTCTTTCGTCTTGTTGCTTCCAGAGACCAAGAGAGGTAGCCAGTGACCAGGTCACTAGGACCCGTCACCTGGGGTACCCGTTCCTGGGATAGTCGAACGTTCGGGTTCGCTCCCCACCTCATGTTGGGAGGTCATGTGGATCTGCGGCATACTACTCGGTATAACTACCTCAAGACCTGGGCGAGCAACCCTCCCCCGTCGTCTCTGACCCGATTGGGTTTGGAAGAAAGAGACGCAGGTCGACCCAGCGACCGGGGCGAGAGGACTCGGGTGCCGACCTGCAAAATCGACACCCTCTTCATGTTCAATAAGAAGAGCACACACAGCAAGCACAGCAAGCAACCCTCTGTTTTCGGAACATGCAAGCACAGCAAGCTGCTGCTCTCAGCAAGCTGCTGCTCTCAGCTGCTGTCCTCCACCAGCTGCAGCGCTTGGTTTAGGATCAACACATTCGGCCGGTGCCCCGCCACCTGCACGTGAACACGTCGGTTCGGTGTGGGGCCGTGAGGATCGGACATTGGCCTGAAATGGCTATCAAATAGAGAGTGGCTATCTATCCAAGACCATTTCTAGGTAGGGATCTATATACTGTTCTTATATCATCTTATATCTATTTGGGGGTCTACGGACATGGGCCTTTCTGAGTCTTTGGGCAAGAAGAGTGGATTTTCTCCCCAGTGATACACGCTGACAAGAAAGCGGCTGGATTTGTTCTTGCAAACGATGTACCCCACGAAAATGACCCTATTGTGAGTAAGTGTTCCACACATGGAGTGTTTGGGCATGTCTGGGCTTTGGATAAAACACAACCGATGTTCACTCCATTGTTCAAACAAAACTGGTCTGCTCGATCAGTGGCCTATGACTCTGCCTGCCCAGCAGCTGGAGGTGCTGAATGGCAAAAAATGACATTTGTATGCCTGATATTAACGCACGTTTTAAGAGAAAGCACCAAGTATCCTCATCACGAAACTGCAAAATAGAAAAATAACTGCCCGACAAGTTTTGCGAAACTCTCATTTGCAGACCTGCAAATTTGCAGGGTCGGTCCTGTGACGTCCACAAATTCGCAGGACCAAACCTGCCATCCTTCATGCCTGCTTTCAACCCCCTGACACGACCTGTCCGGACGCTGTTCTTCCTGGTTTCTGCCAGGCTGGCATGTCGTTGGAAGATCCAGGTATATGACAGTCCCATGCGAGTGTCTGGACAAAGACCATTCATTCAAGGACTTCGGTCATCTTTGGTCAATACTTATTACAATGTCTTAATCAAATTATAATCCAGGACATTAAAAGTGGCCTCTTTGGAGTGTCTAAGTGACCTTTTACGTGCTTAACTGACCTCATCCTGGGATATCAAATTAGGTCACTTTGAAGGTCCTGGATAGCTTAGTTTTATCCTATAGTTTTACTACCTAGCACTTCCAAGGGGTGCCCAATGGAGACCTATAAGTAGTCTGAAAATGTCCATTGGTAACCCCTTGGAAGCAGGTATATATTGCTACCAAGACCCCCTGTGCCAGGGGTGGTGAATGGATACCCCTTTCATCACTCACCTCTTTCAGGAGCTCGGACACCCCCCACACCCCTTTTCTACCCTTCAATCCCTTCAATCCAGGGAGACACTTCGACCGACCGTGTCCGGCGCTGCGCCGGTGCGAAAGGCGCCTCCAAGACGCGTTGGATCTCTGCGGGGGGCGCCGCGTTGCGGGCGTAGAGGCGGTTCTTGGTGTAGGCCGCGGTGTAGGAGCCCAGCGTGGTTTCACGTTGCAAGCGCCTGTGGGCTGATAGGCGGCTGGGCTGGGGGATGCTGAGCGTTTGTTGCTTTTTCTTTCGGTGGTGGGATGAGAGGGAGAGATAGCTGGAGAAGGAGTGGGAGGAGAATTCATGACCCAGACGCTCCATGGGACTGCCATATATGCCTACATTGGGGTGGTGCCAGGGGGGTCAGACGAGCGAGGAGAGAAGGAGGCCGACTTCGGTGCTTGGAGTGAGCGATAAGTAAGGAACTCTGCACGGTACCTTTCCGATTAAGATCACGATCGAGTCACAGTGGGTGGAGTGGTTCAAGTCAACCGAAAGAACTTCTCTGAATGGAAGGAGAAGTTCGGCAGACATGTTGCATATATACCAGGACCTTCCAATCGAGGTGTCTATACAAGGCCTCTTAGAGGTGATTCGAGGTGTCCAAAAACCACCTGTTGGAAGGTCCTGGTAGTTGAAAAATCTACAGGTTCTACTCCATGCAGACCAACAAGCTCCTATACCCATCAAAGGTCACACCAACCACGGTGAAGTCAAAATGTCCAACAGATTCAAAGCCTCCAATCTATATCTGCTGCCCCAAGCAGCCCACCTAGACACCACCACGCGGTTTTCTCCGCTCCGAACACTCCACTCCAAGTCCTCAGGTTTCTTAGACACCAGCATGGGGCCATCCACCCACCCACATAGGGCGGACTACTCAGAAGCCCGAGTCGCATGAGCCGCAGGAACTCGTCCTTGTCCATGGTCTTGTTGGAGTTGAAATCCACCCGCCTGACTCGGCTGAGCAGGTCGAAGGTCTACAGCTGCTATAGTACTATAGCACTACTATTGCCTACTAACACAATATCTAACAATTGTAAATATTTACCTGACCCTTAAAACATCTCAAAACCAGGCCAAATATTCCTCTCATGGATATATTATGATTCTGTTGTGCTAGACTTGCTACTGCTCAGGGCATATTTTTGCTCAGGTTCGAACCACCAAAATGCTCTGCGGCAGGCGGATCTCGCCTCACCATGGACTGCACATCTTCCACGCTGGTTTGGAAGCCTCGGGTCCATCCCACCCAGCGCGAAACGCCTTCCACTCCTTCCGCGACCCGCCCGCGACACCGTACGCGACACGTACGCGACACCCGCGGAAAGAAGCTGCGAGGAAAAAGGCACAGAAAACATGGTGTGGACTGTTCAGGAGACCCGAACTCCTTCGACCACCCTCATCCGGGTCATGTCTGGGTGTCGCCTTCGACCGAAGGAACCCCTTACGGTCTCCGGTCTCCTACGGTCTCCAGGACGTTCCACGAAGTGACTCCGAACCGCACCGCGGTTTGACCACCACAGGCTGCGCGCCCATAGGCGCGAAACCCGCACCAGGCCGGGACCGCCACGTGGCGGCATCTTCGTTCCACCGCTCGGCTCGGTTCGGTTCTCCGGTCGCTTCGGTGCTCGGTTCGCGCGTCTGCTTCGCTGTGGTCGTCCGAGGGGCCGATGTAGGTCAAGAGATCCTGGACCTTCAAGTTCTGCAGTTCTCCTTCCGGAAGAGGCGGACCGCAACTGGGGGCTTCTGAGGAATTTAGTGTTCGGTGCGTCGTGTGCAACTGGGTTTCTGGAGGTCTGGCGACCAGCGTGGTTCTCATCATTTTGACCCGTGTTTTGGGACGACCAGGCCCGATGAACCGCTCGTGGAGCTCGTCCAATCCAAAGGACTCGAAGGCAATCCCGTCTGCGGTCAAACTCAACCAGGCATGAACCCTACACCTCCAGTCGTACCTCCTCAGTATGTGGACCCTGCAAACCCACCCCAAACACCTTCTCAGGCATGAATTCATGTAACCCTTCCGAACTGGAGGGTTTTGACCCTGCAGAACGCAGGGGCTTGGATTCTCAAAACCTTCAACTTTGAGGGTCCTTGATTCTTAGGGAATAGTATAAATTTCATGACTGCCAAGCTGTAAAGACCTGTATATGATGTTCGAAACACCTTCCTGGTTCTATAGGTTTGGATGATTTGGTGGTCCCGAAGTGGGAGGGACGCTGCAAACCTGGTCTATAGCCTATATAGTGCATTCGTGGGCCTAGTTGGTGTGTCTTTCATGCCTGGCTCCAGGTTGTTTAGGATGGCCTCACTTTTTCACTCGGCACGCGTGATCAAACGACGCGGCTTCATCCCAGAAGCGCAACTTCCAGGAGGGCGACCGGCAGTCGCCTAGCCCGAACGGCGGGGACCTCCGGAACCTGCAGATGCAAAGGTCGCGGCAAAGGCCGTGGTAAAGGCAGCCCGAGGTTCAACCAGTCCGCTCTTCTGCCATCGATAGATTTGCAACTGTCAAAGGCAGCAGGGTCGATGCGGGTCACAGAGTCCGGGATGGTCACATTTGCCAAGGAGCTGCAATTCTTGAAGGCACCAACCTCGATGTGGGTCACTGAGTCTGGGATGGTCACATTCACCAAAGAGCTGCAAGACAAAAATGTACAACGCCCGATACGGGTCACAGAGTTTTCGATGGTCAAGTTCGCCAAGCAGCTGCAGCACTGGAACGCACAATCTTCAATGTAGGTGACAGAATTTGGGATGGTCAAGTTCACCAAGGAGCGGCAACCCTGAAATGCACCATGCACCATGGTCAACCTGTGGCAATCTTTGAACGCATTTGCAAGAATTTGTGTGCATGTGCTTGGAATTTCGACCTCAAGCAAAAGTTTCGAGTCAAGGTGGCCACCAAGACGTGTGATCGCATCTATGTTGCAGCAAATCACTTTGTTAGGCTTGAAGACCACACTCACAACAGCATCTTTAGCAATTCCAGCATCCAATACAATTTGCATTGGCCAGCAATTGATGGTCTCCGATAATGACTTCCACACTTGTAGTGCTGCGAGCAAACCGGTCCCAAAGCTTTCCCTCCTTGATCTGCTGCTTGAGCGCCCAGCCTGTCATCTCTGGTGTGACTTCAAGAACTATGACTTCAACCACTCGGTTGCAGCGCTGATATTCTCTTTGCCATGGCTCAAAAACTACAGATTTGGATTTGAGCTTATTCTCATGAAGACAATTCTGTCTGGTTGCTCACTGGCACCATGTGGCACGAACCCGAAAATCATTGGCTTCGCAATTGGAAAGGCCACGTGATACGGAGTGATTTCCAATTCCTGTCACACACGTGACGACGATCGCAAAAACTGACGAACTAGTGACGACGACGAACTCATTCATCGCCAAGTTATGGACGGTTCTCCGATCAGAAACGGTCGCCATGGCCAACATCCTCTGGAGTGTTGTCAGTTGTCATCGGAATCTCAGCAGAATTCTTTACAGCCATTTTTTGCGGTGCAAAAGGTTATAAACTAGGGACTCCAAACAGGTCGCGAATTGGATGTATCGCTCGAAGCTGGGGGAGAATTGGGGTCGGGATGTCTCCATTTTTGGGTGGGATTGTATCAGTGTGTATATACCCTATAGGGCTCCAACTACCTCCTGAGAAGGTGGTTAGGGTGGATTTTGGGGTCTAACCACCTGAAGAGATGGTTGGAGCCCTAGAGATATAGTTCTTGTTGTGATCTCCAAGCTTTGGGCCAGGTGTGGCCGCTCTCGCGACAAGTGGTCGAATTGAACGTCACGTCCAAAGAAACCGAAGCGATGCGGCGACGTCACGTTCGGCGACATCGATGAAAGCAGGGCGCGAGTTGACATGACACTGGAATATCGAAGCTCAAACTCCCAAAGGGTCCAGACGCTCCGTTCACAGCCCTGGGTCCCTCAAAACCATAGGGTTTTGAGGGTCTGGACCCCCTCCATATGAGGGTCCAGGAGCGTCTGGGTGGCGCAAAAAAACATATGGCCGACATGACTGGAGGTTTTGGGTGGTGAGTTTGGTGGTCATATTTGGCAACGCAAAGGAGTTGATGATCATCGACTTTGAGTTGTTTCTCAATGCCATGCAGCTGTTCCAGCTTTGGTCAGAAAAAATACGTTGAGAAACACTCAAACACCAATCCACCTCTAGGTAACAACTCAGAATATTCCAAAGTATATGGGATTCTTCGAAATTGGATGATGTCCTGCTCCTGGGGCCCAAGTTGGCGGGCACTGAATCAGCTTCCCTTCGACCGGACACCAAAAAGTACAAACAAACCAAAACCCCTGGGAGTCAAAGACTATAAAAAGAATGGTCTTTAGGGGACCTGAGTCCAAGAACTTCCTTTACTTCAGCCGGTCAAAATCTCGTCGGTTCCTGGACAAACATGGGAAAACCATATGGTTGAGTGTGTCTTCCATGCCAACGAGATCCCGTCTTTTTAAAGGATGGCGCCTGACGCCTTCACCTCGGTCTCACGACTCACCTTGGTGGATCTGTCGAGCGATCTGTCGAGGCGATGTGAGTGGAAACCGTGAGTTCCAGGTGCAGCCAGCCGGGACTGGAAACCAGCCCCAGACACTCCATGTATGCCATATATGCCGCCCCATTGACCCCCCAAACCACCCCAACTGATCGGTAAATATGCCAGTCCCATGGAGTCTCTGGGAGCTGGGACTTGGCATTCGACAGAAACCACTCTCAAGCTGCAACCCAGGCACCTGGCTCCCAAGTCACTCTTGGCTATGGCTCTTTGGCACCGCTTTCTTCAGCACCTCTCGATGGAGACGAAAACCACACCAAAGACGTGCAACCCTCAAAGGCACCGTGCCCAATGTGGGTCACGGAGTCCGGGATGGTCAAGTTCACCAAAGATCTGCAACTGTGAAAGGCACCATCTCCAATGTGGGTCACCGAGTCTGGGATCGTCAAGTTTGCCAAAGACTTGCAACCGTCAAAAGCATAGTTCCCAATGTGGGTCACTGAGTTCGAGATGATCAAATCTGTCAAGGATCTGCAACCTGCAAAGGCACAATCCGCAATGTGGGTCACTGAGTCCGGGATGGTCAAGCTCGCCAAAGAGCTGCAATGAGAAAAGGCATATTTCCCGATCTGGGTCACAGAGTTTGGGATGGTCAAGCTTGCCAAAGAGTTGCAATCTTGAAAGGCACTATTCCCAATGTGGGTCACAGAGTCCGGGATTGTCAAATTTGCCAAAGAATTGCAATTACGAAAGGCCGCAAACCCAATGTGGGTCACTGAGTCCGGGATGGTCAACTTGGCCAATGTGCGGCAACCGTCAAAAGCGAACGCACAAATCTGTGTTTCACTATCTGGTATTTCAACCACAAGAAGCAGTTTAAAGTCAACAATGCCGCCAAGCCTGGCGATCGCATCTTGGTTGGAGCATATCACTTTGTTTGGTTTGAAGACAACACTCACAACAGGATCTTCAGCAGTTCCAGCTTCCAATACCTTTGCATCATTGGCCAGCAATCGGTTGCCTCCCACGATAATCTCTACAACTGTAGTGCTGCGAGTGAGCTCGTCCCAAGGCTGTCCTCGCTTAATTTGTTGCTTGAGCTTGCGGCCTGTTGTCTCTGGCGTGACTTCAAGCGTGAGCATTTCACCACTCACCTCCAGCACTGAAATTGTCGTTGTCATGGCTCAAAAACTATATGCGGATGTGGTTTTGAGCTGATTGCTTGTTAGCTAGCAGCTTGATTCTTGGGGTGATTGCGACACCTATCATGATATTGAATAAAACATTTGAACAAGAACGTCGACACCAGTCACACCTGGTCCATGCATGTCCATGCATGTCCATCGGTGCTTGCGCTCTGTGGTCTCTGCTGTGACTTCGTTCGAACCATCACTTCACGACTAGACCCTTCGAACCGCCATGGACGACCTGGTTCCCAACGCCCGCAAAGCCGAGCTCCGGTGACGTTGGATGGCAAGGGCCGAGCTCCCATGTGGTGACGACCAAACCATCGACCAGTCGACCAGACCTGTTCGGGATCGGTTACATCGCCCCACCGCGACCCGCGAAGGGACTGCCGAGTGGAAACTGTGCCAGGGGGCGCAGGCAGGTCGTGTATGGGGTGCTTTGCCTGCGTTTTCCGACATCCCAGCACCTGAACTCGAGGTCACCAGTTCTTGGGAATCCATGGCGCCATGTCTTCATGCTACTGAAACCACCGACGTCGGCTTTCTCGTCCTCTTCAGTACAAGTCAGTTGGACCCTCATGAAATACTGGGAAGTACGTCATACAAAACCCATACGGAATACGAGGTTAAAGAGACCAGGTTTGACTGGCTCAAACTGGACTGGTAGGGAGTGTTTTTGTTTGTGCTTTTTTCCGATCAACACGGCCAATAAATCCCATCCATCCCAACCCCTGTGACAGGTTGGAAAACGCCCAAGGTTGATCCCGAGGTGGCAAATCGAGTATGTTCCGAAATCGCTTCGGGACCGGACACCGGAAATCGCCCGGTGGTGTTGGGACACCCCGAAGATATCACCGTCCAACAAACGAGGCTGTATTAGTAGACACGCTCAGAATCCGGGCTTGGAAGGTCTTGGTGTCATTTGATTTATTACCCTACTATCAGAATCCGGGCCAGTTCAGACCTTGATAGGAGGATCCAATCCTTGTAGCCCACTCCTGTGTCATCGCTGAAGCGATGAAAGGCTTCGTCCAACTCCTCCTGCTCCGTTTGAGTGAAGCCATTCTTCCTCTGCACACCTGGACTGACCGACCTCTCCGCACCGGTCTTTCCAACAAAATCACCTCCCTACCAGGACCCTCCTGTCGGGGTGCCCTGTCTGGAAGCCTAGGCCGGTAGTGTGGGGTAGTCCAGCCAGGACACCCCTTAGAGGGTCCTGGTATAGAAGAATACCCGGTGGATCCCAGTTAATATAAGGAACCAGGGATTCGTTCAGTCTATGGTGTTAGTCGAACTGGAACCACTGGTTACCAGCTATAGTGGTAACTGCATGGATCTCCTGGAATACCTTTCAGTGATGGGCTTCAAACCCTGAAGATGTCGAGGTCTCTTCTTTCGCACAGAGCAAGGGTTCGTACCGAGGGTCGCTGGAAACATCTGGCAGCACCTGAATCTTCAGGAACACCAGTATACCAGTACCCTGCAAGAAGTCTCCTCTGGAGGCTTTTTGGAGACTATCAAAGTGTTAGCTGGTGACCTGCTGGAAGATCTTAGGTCGTGTTCTATTCGGCGTTTCCACCAATAAATTCCCCATGGGCCCGGTGCGCGAAGCGAAGCTCCGTCTTCTATCCGTCCAACCGTTGAGCAATCCGCACAAGGATGAAAGCACTGGGCCTTTCAAAAAGTTCCAGGCTCCCTCGAAGTCGATGTCATCGTCTGGGGAGACCTCCTGCGCCGATGCCGTCCGTGCGCGCGCAGGCTCCGTGCGAGACCGGTTCCAGAATCATGCATGTGACGACCCTCAAACATGGTAGTGGTGCAAAACAATGCCTTCCACCCAGAGGCTCATGGACCTTCAAACTGCTACATGTTGGAGGTCCATTTCACCCTGGTTGTGAGGGTCAAAACCCTGAACACTGAGGGTCCTGCCACTGAGCCAAACTGGGCAGGTGGTAAAAGCATGTTCGTCCAAACAAAAAAAGGCGGAGCGAATCTTGGGAGCCTTTACCTCAGATGCCGAGTCGGTACGAGTTCATGGTATGTCCACCTGCGATCTTCCGACGCAAATGTTCTGTTCTGCTCCAACAAATCACCCTCCGACACGAGCTGCTCGACACCACCAGCACGGCGAGAGACAGCGACCGCCAGGAGAGACCCGGACCGAGAGCGACTGATAAGTCGCGGTGGACCTGCTCTTCAAGAAGCTCTTCCCATTCATCGTTGGAGAGCGTGAAGCCCAAGGGTTTGCCTGGTTGCTCCCGTCCGGTCCTCCCAGTGGATGGAAGAACGTCAGGTCCGGTCCCGGTGCAGTAGACTTGAGTGATTCATTTCTTCACCCAAACTCCAAACCCTGAAATGTCCTCCAAGTCTTTAACCAAATGCGACATGATCAAGGGTGCCCCTAACATGTCCAGAACATGTCCTTAAGCATTCCCTAGACTTCCGTTCGACCATTTAAAAAATGGTTGACCTGGTTTTTGTAGTGTAAAATCCTCAGTTGATTCAGCAAAGCCTATTAAATTAATGGTGGTTGGAAGCCTAAGGCATTGTTAACGCCCTGAGAATCCGGGTTTTGGTGCTTCAGCTCCGTTCGGAGCCCCGGAGGCCGACGGTGGACGGGTCGACCGACCCCTCTGGGTTCTCCCAAAGCATGATCCGAACTGAAAGGGTCGAAGTCAGGACATCCGATTTGGCTTTTGGATGCTTCAGATGCTAATGAACATCAGTGGAAAAAATGCTTTGATGTGTCGTGAATTCATGTGAATTCTTTATCTGAAACTGTCCCCATCATAAATGGCCGGTTGTTTCCAAGGTGACATGGGACTGGGGATATAGGTAGCTGTTGGTAGTCATGAGTGGTTCGCATGTCATGAGTGACGTGGTCGCGTCATTGCAGGTTCCACCAGGGTCCACGGCAGAATTCTCGAAGTTCTTCGCCCTCAATAATGCCATCCTCGCATGCGCCATGCTTATGAGACACACTCAGCTGCAATGAACAGCTACAGTAGGACATAGTAGGACTTGAGGCCTACAAACACGGCTTTGTTTGGATTATCGAGTGGATTATCGATTGGCCATGTTGGATGTGGACACTCGATACAACTGCGGTTGATCTGCTTCTGTTTTGCACGTCTAGCCTTCGATGTTGGCATCAGTTCCCTTTTTGCCCGTCGCTTCCGCTCTCAGTGGCAGCGAATTCGAGTGATCTCCTGGTGGTCCGGTTATGCGCCACGAGGACCACTGTGCAACGACACGGTGTGCAGTCCGGTCGGCGATCGCGAATGGCTGTGGCCCGGGGTGTCTGCTTGGAATTCCAGGTACCCTGAAAAATTAGACATCCAATTTATTGATGAGAGCCTGGTATTTTTCTGTAAAACCAGGTCAACTCGTCATGGTCTTGGACGCAAAGGGCTACAACTTCCAGGTGGACCCCGCGGGCTACACCTCTCAGTGACGTGCCCTGGCACTTTCATGCTTATAGGCGGTCCTACACTTGGTGGTTGGGGATTCATACCATCCAGGTGTGTATTATTAACTTAGACGGTTTGGAAAATAGACCAGTCTAGCCGCCTTTTGCCATTGGCTGGCCGATCAGCCTACTTGAATATATACATGTCATCCCTGTATATATGGTTTGGTGCTTACATGTGCTTCATTGAGGTGCACTGAAAAGGTTGCACGCCCACATGGCTGGTCACTTCTCCTCATCTGCATCCAAATTATCGAACTCCTCCATGGCTGAGTTCAGCACCATGTCCTGATCACTGACACGTTCCCTGCCCTTTGTTTCTGTGAGAAGCACATGGGGCGGCATATCACAATTTATACACCGGTGAAAACTAACATGTTCGCCAAACAACACACACCAGGACCCTCCAAGGGGTGCCCTGTCTGGAAGCCGAATTCGGCCGGATTCGTGTGGGGTAGTCCAGCCAGGACACCCCTTAGGGGGCCCTGGTATATTGTTTGGGGGCATATGTTAGTCTAGTTTCGAAGCGGACACCGTTGAGACTCACCTGACCGACCAAACTCCGATGTGCCTCCGGGCGCCCATGTTGACCTCTACCGAACGCGGTCGATGTTAGCCTGCGTTCAGTTTAGACGTCAGATTGCAGTTGGTCCAGTGTCAGACTCGATCATAGACTGAGAGTGGGAATGGTCCATGTTAGCCACACGCCTGACTCAGGTTTGTGGAAAGTTTGTGTCAGTGTGGACCAGGGACTGGTAAAGCGCACTTGAAATTGAGTTCTCGTCTATATTGTTTTTCCCCGGAGTATGTACCGCGTGTATTCTTTTTTTCGACGAAGGACATGTCGCTAACATCTGCCAACGCTTGGTACCTTTTTCTGAGCTCTAGAGCCATTTAATTAACTCAAGCTCTGCGATTGGAAGGACAGTTGTCTTCTCATCAGTCTGACTTGTGCTTCAGGATCTGCCTTCAACAGGACAACGAAAATGACAATTTGTGTGCCGAAGTGATGCAGCAAGAGACAGTGGAGAAGCTAGACCTTGGGGACCTGAATCCGCCCACGGAACAGTGGTCAAAGCATGTTGGTTTGCCACCTCTTTCCACAGGCAGAAGCGAGAGATCTGCCGCCCACTTTGCCGATGATTCAAAACCTTCAAGTGATGGATGTATCATCAGTTACAGGTTTGGTTCATTAGTTCTTTAGTCCAATGAGTTTTTTCTTAATATGTAAGTAAACTGTTTTGAACTTCCACCATTCTTGTCCAGTGACTGGCAACGGTGGATGACAGCCAACGGTCGCTGCGACCCTGTATGATTCTTGTTTTCAGTCCCATCGACCGAATGCGCATCGACCGGTTGCGCGGCTTCTTCGGTGGATGGGTGATCATCGAATCGAAGATCGAATCACCATCCAATGGCACGCAGCGACGAAGCGCAGGGCACCGCCCACGTCCCCAGGTGAAGAAGAACATCAGAAAACAGTGGCCCGGAAAAAGGGACACAGCTTCATCCTTCTGCCCAAATTCCATGAACACGTCTCCAGCTGTATCTCCGCTGGCTGCGCTTGGCGCTCCGCATACGCACGAAAGGGCACACCCTTTCTTCGCGCTTGAATCTCTCAAGGGACTCTTGGAGGACTCTGAGAATCTGAATCAATCCGACCTGTTCACTTTGGGTGGACCCCCCAAAACCCATGCAAGTTACGGACAAGCTACGCAACCAAACCGGGGAAGCTCTGCACCACTTCGGCCCGTCCTGCAATCGCCGGCAGCACACCAAGAACCTCAACGGGCGGACGTTTTCCGGGACAAGTTTGGGGGATTTTCGTGGCGTTTCGTGGCTATATGACCCAATGAAATCCCCCAGAACACAGAAGCATCAAATAATAAATAAAACAAGCCCGACTCTCAAACTGTGTTGCACTTTGACTGGCCAAACCATCCTGCTAAATCCCCAAACCCATTGGTCCCATGATCTCAAACACATTGTTGATTGTCCAACAAGTCATACGCGAATCGGCTGAATTTTAACCCCAGGTTTTGATGCGGGCGTTTTTGCTTGTGAGGTTGCTTGGTGTTCGCCTGAGTCTGAAAATACGTTCGGAAGCTGTGCGCATATGCAATGCCCCTTCACTTGTCCAGAATCACATGTAAAAAAAAGAATCGAACTGGCAAGCAGCAGCGGTTGATCTGCCTTCAGAGATTCAGAATCGAATGCCTCTTTTACACATACAAACCTCTACTGTAGTACCTCCGCCTCATTGGATGAGAAGTGGTTAATTTACTGGAGATAATCTCCATCCGAACATTTGAAGAACGAGTGCAAAAAACAAAAGGCATCCGATGATTACCACTTCTGCATCCCAGCCAGCTATGTAGTGCAAACGACAATGCACACAAATCGTGAGAAACCACAGGAAGAATCCACCCAACGTATGTGCGCTGTCATCAGTTGGGTTCATCCACAAATGCCACAAGATAGACAATGTCGAAGCAATAACAACGAACCGCAAGCTCATTAAGAATCTGGCATAACCATGCGAGAATAAGACGATGGAGTTCAGGCACAAACCAAGTAGCACCCAAAAACACCAGGCTGCTTGCCAAGAGGTCTCTCGATGCAACAAAGAGAAAAATGCGAGCGCGCAAGTCCACAAACTCACAGAGTACCAGAAATGCAGACCTACTCGATGTGTCTTGGAAAACTGTAGATCAAATAACTTGCAGAAGATAAACCAACAGTCTGCGTTCCCATAACCGTTCTCAATTCGCAGCTCACGGTGCCAGGAACAGTCCCAGAGGAGCAAGAAAGCAAAGGTATAAGCATAAAAAAGGCAAAAGAACCTAAGCCAAGCACCTGGTGGTTGTTTGCGAAAAAGACATTTTATGCCAACAAAGAAAAATATTAGCCAAGGAGAAACATTTGGAATAAGGATAGTCTGCGAGCATAAAAAGTTGACTCCGCATCTCGCAACCTTGCCACCCAATCATCTTCTGTTGAAATATGCCGAGAAGTCAGGCGAAGACGATCTTGGTCATAGGGAGACAAGTAAGGCATGACAAAATCAACTGCTGACAGAAGCTTTGTTTGAGGTACTGGTTCAGATCCAAGGAAAATGCCTCGAACTTTGCCCAGCCATTGCGCCCAAAGTTCATGCGATCCTCGATGGACCACCCTTGACACACTGGACCTTGGTGCCAAGAGTGGATCAGTCGACATGGTGGTAAGGCCACTAGTCTGCAAGACCAGCCATGAGCTCCTTGTTCAACTTGATGGCTGCGTCCAAAACAATTGAAATCCTATACCGTACCTATCTGTACCTTATAAGTGCTAGATTCTCTCGAACAGCTGGTATACATGGTTTACTGTAATTCCTTTATTTTTAATATGTTGATGAATGTGCACTGGTCAAAATATATAAACAAATAACATAGTTGACTTGACAACCCTAATATACCCCAATACTTAGATACTTCCGTGCATACTGCGAACAAGTTGCTATTTAAATTTGGACATGCTTGCACGGTTCAATGGAGGAAACGGGCCTTGCTCACCATTGCTCGAGCCAAAAAAGGCCACATGGGTCCACCCAAATAGGCCTTTGCAGCCTCTGACAATTTCATGCCACATGTGGTATAAGCTGTGACCAACATATTATCTTGTTGGCTTTCCCCTTCACATCGTCCAGAAACCCCAGTACATAAAGAATGTGTGCATTTCTACCGAGATGTGTACGAACCAACTGGTTCCGAAGCGCCAGTTGCTTAAGGCTCCTTTAACTCGTTGAGGCCTCTTTCACCCGAAGGAGAACCAAAGAGTTCTACGGACCCGACTCGCACAGGTGGTGTTTTTTGGCACACCCGGAGGACTCACCGCTTTCGGAACGAGGCGAGTTACCAACACCGGAAGGAATTCGGAAGCTCGGTTCTGGTTATTTGCCTCTTTTTCTGGAGATTCTGCTTAGTTGCAGTCGCACCCATCAACACCTGGTACACCAGTTGTAAACACCTCGAGTTCGGAAGCTCGGTCCTGGTACATGGTGTTGAGACATGTGGAGACTCCCACGAGAAACATCCACCAACCAGTGGTCTGGTCAGTCGTGTCGGTGAGAGAAACATCACCCACCTTCAGACCACCAACTCGCGGGGTGCCAACAAAAGCTCGCTTGCTTCGAGTCATGCGTGCTATAGACACCCTGGGAGTCGACCATTGTGTTAAAACGGTCTGACTTGGTGATCCGAAAAGGAACTTCCTTTACTTGGGTGGTGCCGAAAATATTTGGACTTCTAGGGCACAGGATTTGTGATCATCTACTGGCAGCCTGCCTTTCCTCACTCAGCACCCACAGAACCATGGTGTTTGTCACCCATGGCATCTACCACGGCACGTACCATGCGACGGGTGCGACCCGTCCGTGTGGCCCAAGTCGCTCGTAGAACTGCACCGGAACGATCTTTTCCCCCTGGGCACGACGGTACATCCCGTTAGACAGGGAGGATGGATAAATGGGACGCAGGCGCGAGGGAGGCGCGATGACATGACGCGCATGCAATTCGTTCAACGCGGCAGGCAAGGAGGTTTTTTTGTCTCTTCTACGTTCGCATCCTGCCAGGTCTCCTCGTTCGAGGGTTATTCAGGGCCTGGTCTCGTGATCTGGCAGTGAGGATGCTGGCGCCTACACAGACATGTGCTTTTCCCATGGGCTGTTTGGACCCCACCAGGGATCCTGAAACGTTCCAACGATCCGGTGGTCAGCAAACCGCCTGCTGGGTGTCCATCTGTGTCCTTCATCCGGATTGCTTATCCTCATTTGCCCCAGGTGTCAATTACCTGGATCATCCAGCCACCGACATGTGACATTGCTTGGAAGGTCGTATTGGCTTCAACTGGCCAAACTCCGCTGAGCGACCTGTTGTGTCACCGTTCTCTTGTCCTCGTTAGGCCTCGTTAGGCCTCGTTGAAATTGGTTCTCCCCAGTGGTCCAACATGATGGACAAGAACCATTGTCATCCGGCTGGTTTCCACAGGCTATAAATACCTGGACCTGAAGACAGGGGTGTCCTGTCTGGATATCCCTAAGTAGTGTAGGGGCTTCCATTGCTGACCCCGAACTGAAGGTGCTGGTATAGTCATCAGAAAGATGTTGTTTAAGGAGGAATTTCATGTGATTCCATGTCATGTGCGGGTCGCCGTTCGTTTTCAAATCGTCAGATCCCTGGAGTTGGAAGATTACAGCCATCAGAATACACCCCCAAAATCGTTTCACCATGCACGACAGAGAGCCTTCCATGACTATCTAGAAAACAGTCCTTTTGCTGCTTCTGCAACTTACAGCACAATGAGCTATAAGGCTTCAAACATGTTCCAAACGGTTCCGCTCCAAATCCCGTGCGACGCGACGCGAGGCGTTCGGCGAAATGGCGAGATCGCTTCAGGCGGCGAGGCGTTCGGCCTCGAGGCTCTCTTCCATCTTGTTCAAGAGCTCGCGGAGCTGCTCAGCGCCTGGGCGAAGAAGAGACGTCGCGTCGCAGGGCGCCACACACGTCGCGTCCGACGTACGGCGGGTCACAGCGCGAGAGAGGGGAGTCGATCGAAGGACGCCGGGTGACGGGAATTCGCTCAGCTGCGTGAGAGACGAGGAGTCGTCTGATCTGTATATGCCAGGAGGCTCCGTGAAAACCGCCCCGACCGGTCCCTCAAAACCTATAGCCATTTGAGATCCCAGACCTCTCGATTTGAAGGTCTGGACTTCGCGTCTGGGATTCGTATAACCTATTGTTTTTACAAACTGAGTCAGTGGTATCATTGATCAATCATTTCAAGTCATGGTTGAAACTACAAAAATCTCTGAAACCACCACCTATTAGCCATACCCAGCTATATTTCTTTGCAAATGATTCGATCCGATAGGGGGGGAATCATATATCTGGACGCCCAAAAGCCTCGGGTCGGGGTGAAACATCCAAAAGCGGCGACGGAAGGAGGTGAGCCAGGCCATGATACGATGCAAAGCACAGAACCGAGCTGCACGAGTAACGATGGTGCACGATGGATGGTGCACGATGGTTTGATGGATGAAAAGGCAAGCATTTTGAAACGCGTCTACTGAACATGTCTGGTTGGAAAGGCAAACATTTTCCGAGATGTCTGCCAAGCATGGCCGGTTTGATGGATGAAAAGGCAAACATGTTCACATAGTTGGAAGATCCAGGTATAGGAGATTGGCCTCCTCATCAGGGGAGGTGTTTCTTTTGACCAACCAGATCTTGCCCTGCAACATCCTGTAACCCTGCATGCAAGAACCTGAAGGGATACGATACTCGCTTCAACCCAAACCCAGAGAATATACCTGGATCTCCCAACATGTGACCACTTTCTGCCTTTTCCATCATCAGCCGCTCGTTCGGCCGAAAAGCTGGGCATGCCGTTGGTTTCGATCCAGGTTTATATAAAGATCGAGTTACTTTCAGCAACCCCCAAGCTCTGTTGCCATGTCCCTCCACCTCCCACGTCCTCTGCGCCCGGTTTCACCGCCGCGTGCGTTGCACGGGCTCGGCTCGGCAAAAGGCAGGGTCCATTGGAACCACCTACCATCCTATCTGAGTGTGGCTGGATGGGCCCAGGCGCCATACCAACTGAGATGCGTTCAGGACTGGTCCAGGACTATGCAACAAAAAAACCCAAGGATAGCTTCCAACAGAGGTTGAAGAACCCTATAGACTATCCCAGTTCGGTACCCCAGTAAGGTCCTAGTTCAGGTCACTTAACCTCTCTTGCTTTTGCAAGATCCAGGACTTTGCCTGAAAACACCTTCACTCTCCTAAGCCGGTCGTCACTCGACTAGTACGGTCGTCCCAAGCTGGACATTCGACTAGTCGGCCGATGCTTTAGACGGCCGCAACCCCCAAAGGCAGACGGGTCAATGTGAACTACACAGTCCGGGATTTGTACACTCGTCAAATGAATGCCATTTACCCAGACGCTCCAAACAGCCCTTGGTCTCTCAAAACGCAAGTATTTGAGACCCCTGACCCCTCCATATGAGGGTCCGACCCCTCCATATGAGGGCCCATGAGCGTCTGGGTAAAAAGGCATAAAAATCAATTTCGGCCACAGAGTTCGGGATGGTCAAGCTTACCAAAGAGCTGCAACCACGAAAGGCACAATCCCCAATGTAGGTCACGGAGTTTGGGATGGTCAAGTTTGCCAAAGAGCTGCAATCAGCAAAGGAAGAGCTCCCAATGTCTGCCACTGAGTTGGAGATTGTCAAGCTCGCCAAAGACGTGCAACGACGAAAGGCACGATTCCCAATGTGGGTCACTGAGTTTGGGATGGTCAAGCGCGCCAAAGAGCTGCAACCATCAAAGGCACCGTCCCCAATGCGGGTCACTGAGGCTGAGATGGTCAAGCTTGCCAAAGAGATGCAATGACAAAAGGCACCATTCCCAATATGGATTACGGAGTCTGGGATGGTCAAGTTTGTCACAGAGGTGCAAAAGGCAAAGGCATCATTTCCAATGTGGGTTACAGAGTCTGGGATAGTCAAGTTCACTAAGGAGATGCAACCACGAAAGGCATCGATCCCAATGTGGGTCACTGAGTTTGGGATGACCACTTTGGCCAATGTGTTGCGACTGTCAAAAGCGCATTCACAAATCTGTGCTTCAGTGTCTGGAATTTCGACCACAAGCAGCAGTTCGGAGTCAACGATGCCGCCAAGACTGGCGATCGCATCTTTGTTGGAGCATATCACTTTGTTTGGTTTGAAGACCACACTCACAACAGGATCTTCAGCAATTCCAGCTTCCAATACCTTTGCATCATTGGCCAGCAATCGGTTGCCTCCCACGACAATTTCTACAACTGTATTGCTGCGAGTGAGCTCGTCCCAAGGCTTGCCTTCCTTGATCTGGCGCTTGAGTGCCCGGCCTGTCGTCTCTGGCGTGACTTCAAGAACCAGGGCTTCACCACTTGGAAGCAGCACCGAAATTGTTGCTGCCATGGCTCAATAATGATGACGGAATGAGGCTTTGACTTCTTGTTGGCTAGCCTTGACGAGCAGCCATGATCATGCACTCAATGGTATGTTTCTTCTTCGCTGGGCGGGTGAATCCGACACCAGTCCAGTCACATGTGCTGAGATCTGATCAGAGTGCTGCGAGAAAAGCAAATCCGGACCGTCTGACCCACTGGTGTCCGGTTTCTCCCGGACCAGCCGGTCAAGAGGCAGGGACCACATGGTCAACCAAACCGGCTCAGCGCCAGTCGTACCTATAGGGCTCCAGTCGTAGCTCACCCAGAGGCGAGCCTGGACCCGAACCAACTGCTATGCATGTTGGAGATCTAAAATACAGTATCTGGTTGCGAGGGTCCAAAATGTCTGGTTGTGAGGGTCCAATGACCTTTGGGCAGAAGGTATGACTGGACCCTCACCCCAAACACGTTTTCAGGTTCGGTACGACTGGAGCCCTTCACCTAGGGATCTCAGGTTCGGTACGACTGGAACCACTGCAAACCCACCAACATCCTGCAGTCTTCTCACACATCACCGGTAGGGTGGCAGTGGATCCTTATGGGGTTCAGTGCCCTAGGGCTCCAGGAGCTACCGAACCTGAAGGTTCGATGGGACTGGGGGTCCGGGTGCCATGTTCCGTCGGGTCCAGGAGCTACCGAACCTGAGGTTCGGTGCGACTGGAGCCTATAGGGGTGGATATAAGGACCCACCCGGTTCTCGCAGGTGACCCCGCCAGCTTCGTCGCGCGACACTGAACCAACAGCGATTCGGCGTGGCGTTCGACCGATCGAAAGCCACGACATGTCTGCCATGTCTGAACGAAAGGCAAACATATGTTGCACGGATGGTAATATATTTTGTTCATGCACCTCTCACTGTTTTCCAGTATCCCTAGTACCTAGGGATCCAAGTGCCTTCTCAGAAGGTACTTGGACCCTCCAAACCACCTACATAGCAGTGTCTCCAAGACTGGATCCCTAGGGTATGCCCTAGAAGTCCAGTTCGACTATATTTTGACCGGTTGAAGGTTTCAGGAAGTTCCCTTTCACTCAGGTCCCCGAACTCGTCAGACCATTCTTTTTATAGTCGAGTCTTTGACTCCCTAGGGTATGGGTAGCTTCGGAAAAAAAAGAGAACGAAACACGTTTCGCCATTCCGATCGCCCGAGTTGTCGCGGCAGGAACGGACGGGCGCCGACCGGTAGACACGACTCGTCTCGTCTCGGCTTGAGCGACGGTCGTCCAGTTTGACCCGTCTATCCCGGCGGATTGGGGGCGAGAGATATGTAAGCCCTAGGATTCAAAGAGCCATTAGTCTTTATGGTCTACTTCAAAGAACCAAAGAACCCTTAGTTGTACGATAAGGAGTTTTACAGGAGTCACCCCATCCTCCAATAAGCACAAGTTGTGTTAAGTCACAAGACGGGGTACCGAACTTGGAGCAAGTCGGGGTGCCCATTCATTATCCACTCACTGGATGGGACGAGCCAAACCACCCCTTTAGTCACTTCTGGTAATGTCTCCTTTCTCAAGTTTGCTCTCCTTTTTGAATAAAAGACCCCGTTGAATACTTTTATCCGCCCAGACGCGACCCTGGGCCCTCATATGGAAAGGCGGACCCGAATCCTCGGGTCAGGGGTCTGGGTTTCTCACCAATCCGGTTTTGAGGGACCGGGAAAGGGCGTTGTGAACGACGGAGCGTCTGGGCGTTACCTTTTTCTTCCCCTGGGAGTCAAAGACCATTAAAACAATGGTTGACCTGGTTTTTGTATTGTAAAATCCTTAGTTGATTGGGTAAAGCCTATTAAATTCATGGTTGTTGGAAGCCTAGGGCTTCAATTCATCCCCTTGATCTCCACCACCACCGTCCACCCGACGTGTCGGATCGAGGAGTCCTCATGTCCGATCGATGAGAGGCAACGGGCGGGAAACGCGTGGTTTCGCGAAGAAACGAGTGACGTCAGATCTAAGTACTGGTCATCCCAAACCATGGGATGAAGCAGATTGACATTGGGGTGGTTGAAAAGAGGTGAATGTACAATCATGTACATATACACGTCAGAATGAATATATTATATGCATGTTGAGTCAGCATCGTATTTGTCGACAAGTCGTTTCACTACATGAACATGCCACACCTCCATCAAGTCGGGAAAAGTGCGAACCAAGAAGAAGGGCTACAAAAACTGGGCATCTGTGCAAAATGGATCCAAGTGGACTCATAGAGAAAGTCTTGCAATGAGAAAGGTTGGCCATGGTGTTTCACCAGACATAAACAGCGACATCACGTTCAACGCCCGGTCACCCAGGCCCATGGTCGGGAGCATCCCAAAAAACGAGCATTCCGTTCTCCTACTAACCCTCCGAAGTACCAGGTACTTTCCTGACTCTGAGGTACGAACTCACAGGTCGACTCCAGGTATACTGACTTTGCAAGTTGCTTTAGGAAGAGTCACACAGGTCACCCGACCCCTTCCTGATGGATTGATGGGCAGCAGTTCCCTCGCTGTCACAGGCCTAGGTCGACTCCAGGATTCTGGGGAGATAACAATTTTAGGGGAGTTAATTCCCACTACAAAGTATGTGCACTTCCAAGAGTCAATATGACAGAGCCCAAACTAAGGGTATACCGAACATGTCTTTGCAGCCAGTTTTCAACTCTGACGTCACAAATTCCAGGCTCATCGCTCTACCACTTTCATCCACCCCTACACCTCTGATGACTGCGTCTCGGTCGCAGAGCGCGCGTCGGATGAGAAGGGAGGAAGCGGAGGAAACGACCAGAGGTGGAAACTGGAACGGTCTCGAAGTTCCAATGGGATTCCAACCGCAAATGCTTTTAAATAATCTTCACTAGAAACTCCAACTGGTCGAACGGAGCGCCAGGAACATCTTCTCAGGAGGAACCACCTTGAGCAAAATGCGAAGAATGGGAACCAAGTGCTGAGCAAAATGATTCTGATAGGCTTGGATTAGTCCCAGAGATGGACAGTGTCAACTGTCGCCGAAGGCAAAGACCAGCAATTCCCAAAGGCAAAATATCCGACGTGGGCAACTGAGTCTGGTATGGTCAAGCTCGACAAAGCATGGCAACCCGCAAAGGCATGATTCCCAATGTGGGTTACTGAGTCTGGAATTGTCAAGCTCACCAAACCACTGCATGCTGCAAAGGAACTATTCCCAATGTGAGTCACTGAGTTTGGGATTGTCAAGTTTACCAAAGAACCGCAAGACGTAAAGGCATAATTCCCAATGTGGGTCACGGAGTCTGGGATGGTCAAGTCTGTCCAAGAGGTGCAACCTGCAAAGGCACTCACTCCGATGTGGGTCACTGAGTTTGGGATGGTCAAGCACTGCAAAGAGCTGCAATCTGCAAAGGCACAGTCCCCAATGTGGGTCACAGAGTTCGGGATGGTCAAGCTCACCAAAGAGCTGCAACCGTGAAAGGCGAAATGGCCAATGTGGGTCACTGAGTCAGGGATGGTCAAGGTTGCCAAGGAGCTGCAACCATCAAAGGCACCATCCCCAATGTGGGTCACGGAGTCCGGGATGGTCAAGTTTGCCAAAGAATTGCAGTATTGAAAAGCACGATCCCCAATGTGGGTCACAGAATTGGGGATGGTCATGTCTACCAAAAAACTGCAAAAAAAAAAAGCCTGATTCCCGATGTGGGTCACTGAGTCGGGAATGATCACCTTGGCCACTGTGTCGCAACCGACAAAAGCGCTTTCACAAATCTGTGTTTCAGTGTCTGGAATTTCAACCACAAGCAGCAGTTCAGAGTCAACAATGCCGCCAAGACTGGCGATCGCATCTTTGTCGGAGCATATCACGACATTTTGTTTGAAGACAACACTCACAACAGTATCTTCAGCAATTCCGGCTTCCAATACCTTTGCATCATTGGCCAGCAATCGGTTGCCTCCCACGATAATCTCTACAACTGTAGTGCTGCGAGTGAGCTCGTCCCAAGGCTTGCTTTCCTTGATCTGGCGCTTGAGTGCCCGGCCTGTCGTCTTTGGCGTGACTTCAAGAACTATGACGTCACCATTCGGCTGTCGCGCTGAAACTTTTGTCCACTTGGCACCCATGGCTCAGACTACGCGGATTTGGCTTAGTTTACCTATGTTTGCCTGATTGCTTGTTGGCTAGCCTGGAACAGCAGTCCATGATCATGCACACATGTTTTGGCTTCTTCGCTGGGCGGGTGATTCGGACACCAGTCCAGTCACACGATCTGATCAGAGTGGTGTGAGAAGATATGGAGCTCTGGAGCTCTGGAAATCCAATGATCCTCAACACGTACCAGAGAGGTTGAAGAGCCCTGTCTGGTCGCCCATCCCGTATGTACCACAGACCAGGGTCCGAACGTGAAGCGACCTCTCAACCTCTCCTCAACACGTTCGCACCCGGAACCGGTCCCAGAAACCGATCGAAACCGCTGAGACCGGATCTGCGTCGAAATGTTGCGGGTCAGCAACTCATATCGCGTATATCCACGAACCGGTTCGGTGCTCAATACACTGATGTTTATCTCAAACAAGAGAATTCCGGTCCATTCATGGTCAATAGCTTCCCCAGCTGGAATCTATCAGGTCGATTGATCGATACGTCATGTCCTGTTCCCAGAAGATCGATCTGCACCAGTTGGGCAGATTGGAGATGGAGGATGTTCGGGTCACTTTGGAGGATGTTCGAACCAAAGGCTCAGTGGCAGGACCCTCAGGTCGCTATGGGGTGAAAGGACCCTCACAACCAGGGTTTTGGGTGTAGCAGTTTGAGGGTCCAGGGTCGCCTCTGGGCAATAAAGCACTGGTCATCCCAAACCATCCATGGAACTCGCATATGTTGGGTGTTTAGAATGGGGTGAATGAGGGCAAATATACCAGCAGTTCCATGGAGTGTCAGGACATGGTTCACATGTGAACAGCATGTCAAAACGTCGTTTCACTACATGAACATCCATGCCACACCTCCATCGAGACGAGAAAAGTTCAAACGAAAATTATTTCGACACTACCAAAAAGCTTGGCGTCTTGCAAAATAGATCCAAGTTGACTCTAGAAGTCTTGCAATGAGAATGGTGAGCGTTCAACCAGAAATGACTACCTGGACCCGACTTCAAGTGTCCTGGAAAATGGGACATGACCCGAACAAACAGGTACTTTCCATTGTCTGAGGTACATCCTCAAAAGGCATTTGGACCCTCCAACCACATCTCCAAACCCACCCGGCATCTCAGGTTCGCTACAACTGGATGTGGTGCCCGTGAAGAGCACACCTTCTTTTTGTGCACCGTGGTCCACTTCCTCCGCCTCTCTCGGGAGCTCGCCGGACGCAAGACCCGACACGTGGGACACCGTCAGGAGGTCACAAAGCAAGAGCCAAAGACAGAAAACCCAATGTGGGCAGAGCCAAGTCTGGGAAGGTCAAGTTTGTCAAGCATTAAGAGCTCTTGTCCCCACAAGCAAAGTGCAACCCTCAAAGGCACAGATCCCAATGTGGGTCACTGAGTCTGGGATGGTCACATTTGCTAAAGAGGTGCAATTCCGAAAGGCAGCATTCCCGATGTGAGTCACAGAGTCTGGGATGGCCAAGTTCACCAAAGAGCTGCAACCCACAAAGGCATGATTGCCAATGTAGGTCACGGAGTCTGGGATGGTCAAGTTTGCCAAGGAGCTGCAACGACAAAAGGTACTCTGCTCAATGTGGGTCACTGAGTCCGGGATGGTCAAGCTCGCCAAAGAGCTGCAACCCAGAAAGGCACGATCCCCAATGTGGGTCACCGAGTCAGGGATGGTCAAGGTTGCCAAGGAGCTGCA